CATAAAGCACAATGATATCGTGGAACTACACTGAACATAATTATAAACGCAACACTTTTGTTCTTGCCCCCACTATCGTCCTCATCGGGGTCTCGACCTGACTGCAGTTTGTCGATGTAACCGACTTGAGTGGGCAAATGCTCACATTTGATGGTGTCTGGCACTTTGGAGAGGTGTTCTTTTCACGGATGAATCCTGGTTTTCACTGTACAGGGCAGACAGCGTGTCTGGCATCATGTGGGTGAGCGGTTTGCGATGTCAACGTTGTGGATCGTATGGCCCATGGTGGCGGTGGGGAGTATGGTATGGGCAGTTATATGTTATGGACAACGAACACAGTTGCATTTTATTGATGGCATTTTGAATGCACAGAGATACCGTGATGAGATCCTGAGGCCCATTATTGTGCCATTCATCCACGACCATCACATGATAATTAGAGATGTCGCGAACTGCTCGCCGAACTGTCCGCCGGCGAACAATAGCGTGTTCGCGTTGGGCAAACATATACGATTTCCGGTCCGCCCCTTATTCGTCATCATTGAGTAAACTTTGACCTGGAACCTCACAGTCAGCAGACACATTCCAGCCAATCAGAAGCAGACCCTCCCTCCCAGGAAGTGTCTGCTGACTGTGAGGTTCCGGGTCAAAGTTTACACAATGATGACGAATAGGGGGCGGACCGGAAATCATATATGTTCGCCCAACGCAAACACGCTATTGTTCGCCGGCGGACAGTTCGCGAACATTTCGGCGAGCAGTTCGCGACATCTCTAATGATAATGCATGGCCCCATGTTGCAAGGATCTGTACACAATTCCTGGAGGCTGAAAACATACCAGTTCTTGCATGGCCAGCATACTCATTGCACATGTCACCCATTGAGCTTGTTTGGGATGCTCTGGATCGGCGTATACGACAGCGCGTTCCAGGTCCTGTCAAAATCCAGCAAGTTCGCACAGCCATTGAAGAGGAGTGGACCAACATTCCACAGGCCACAATCAACAGCCTGATCAACTCTATGCGAAGGAGTTGCACTGCGTGAGGCAAATGGTGGTCACACTAGATACTGACTGGTTTTCAGACCCCCCTGGACAAATGCAATACAGTAAAACTGCACATTTTAGAGTGTCCTTCCTATGGCACACCAGTGCAATAATCATACTGTATAATCAGCATCTTGTTATGCCACACCTGTGAGGTATATGGATTATCTCGGCAAAGGGGAAGTGCTCACTAACACAGATTTAGACAGATTTGTAAACAATATTTGAGAGAAATAGGCCTTTTGTGTACATAGAAAAAGTCTTAGATCTTTGAGTTCAGCTCATGAAAAATGGGGGCAAAAACACAAGTGTTGCATTTATAATTTTGTTCAGTGTGGATTGTTCAAGTCACCATGACTCACATATTTATCATTGTAGAACATGTGTTCTATCTGCCACAATCCACACTCTTCAGTATACTCATATTTTCAAATATCCAAAAACTGGAAAACAAACCTAAAAATGAGAGTGGTTAGCAGAGTAAAAAAGTGCTTGGGTAATTTTGAGGAAACTACACATTCTAAGATTAATAGCAGGGTCAGTGGTGTCAAGAAACAAAACGTATTTGAATGCATGTACTTCCAAAATTGTGTGCATTCATGACTGAGTGTCACGGCGTGTTGCGGTGTATTCCCATTAGATCCGTGGAAACTCTGCAAGGTACAACTCACCTCAGCAGCGGCTGTGTCCAAAAGCATATGAGACTGTGCACCAGTGCTTCTACTCCGTACCCATAATTCTCTTGCGGATGTCCATGCAATGTCATGCTGGCATCACTCATGCATATCCTGATGTCATGTGACTATTCTAGCCAATCAGAATGATTATTAGGGTCTTCCTCACTGATGCATGCACTGACATAAACTCACAGATACACAATCATTGCCACACACATTGTTTTAACCAACTCACACTTTCACTGAAACATACACGTTCACAGACATGCACACTCACAAATTCCCAGTTACACTCACAGTTACACACACACTCACATTCACAAACAGACACACAAATACACTAACTGTCAGATACGCATTCACCGACTGACACTCACTGACAAACACATATACACTCTCACTGACAAACACATATACACTCTCAGTGACAGACACACATGCACTAACACATACACACTCTAACAGACAGACACTAACATTCACTCTACCAGAGTGGCTACTAGAGGTGGGGGAGTTCTGCACAGGGGGGATGAGGATAAACACACAAGAAGGGCCAATAGATACACACAAAGGGATGTGTGGGGTCGAAACTGGCACACAAACATTTAAAATTCCGGGGGAGGGGATATCCAACATAGATTTCCAAACTGAGTGAAAAGTGACCTAGTTTAAGGGGGGTGTAGAATTAAGGTAACTAAGGTTAGGGGCATCTGTTTTCCATGGGCTGTAACATACATAATCCATATCTAGGCATAGAGAGAGATAGAGTTAAATTCAGCAGCATATTTAAAAGATTACTCCAAGATTACTCCAAGATCAAAACCACACCAGAGCTGTTACCTGGTAGTGGAGTAGCCAGGGCCATATTAAGAGCCCAGTGGGCCTGGTGCTGACAATTATGATGGGCCTAAATACAAAATCTTATTGACTAAAAACACTAAAACAGTCCTACCTCCTAAGCGTCATGTATCTGATGGAGATGGTGCTGGAGGGAAACTCATAGGATGCACCTATGAGAAAACACATACCCTATGCTGATCTCACACTTTTATTTTTCAAGTTAATCCATGCACCCTAACAACAGTGTCCAGTAAAGCAGGAAGTCTATAGATGGGGGTAAAAGGGTGGGCACTGACGCAAATCATATAACCAGAACTTCCGAAAGGGGTGAGCATACCCAAAAAGGGGGCATGTCTGTGTCCCCGTGTCTCCCAGTCCCTTAGTGTCTGTGTCCCCATGTCTCCCAGTGTTCCTATGTCACTAGGACACCAGGGGACATTGAGAGACATAGGGACACTAAGATACTAGGGTACACTGGGAAACCTGGGGACCCTGAGTCACTTGGGGACACTGGAAGACATGGGGACACTGGGTGATTTTGAGACACAAGGGGACACTGTGAGACATGGGGCACTGAGACACTGTGATACATAGGAGAGACTGTGATACATAGGGGACACTGGAGACTTGATAAAGACCTGGGTACAGGTCAACCCGTTGCGGTATCCAATAAACCTAGTGAATGCCTGAGATTTTCTTTGATACTAGGGGACACTGAGACACTTGGGGACTCTGGGAGACTAGGGGACTCTAGGAGACTGTGGATACTGAGACACTAAGGACACAGACACTATGGACACTGAGAGACACCAGGGACACTGGGAGACATGGGGATACTGCGATACTAGGGACACTGGCTGGGAGACATGGGGACACTGGGAGTGCCCATGTCTTCCAGGTCTTACAGTCGCCCAGTGTCCCAATGTCTCCCTGTGTCCCCCATTGTCCCCATGTCTCTCAGTGCCCCCATGTCACCCAGTGTCCCCTAGAGTTCATATCCCCATGTCTCCCATTGTCCCCATGTCACTAGGACACTAGGGGACACTTACAGATATTGTGACACTGTGAGACATTGGGACACCGACTTGGTGACACTGAGAGACATGGGACCACTGTGCCCCTAGTGCTCCCATGTTCCCCAGTGTCCCCAAGTCTCTCACCATCCCCATGTCTCACAGTTTCCCGTAGTGTCTCAGTGTCACCCAGTGTCCCTATGTATCCCAGTGTCCCCATCTCTCACAGTTTCCCATAGTGTCTCCCAGTGCCCCTTGGTGTCTGTGTCCCCATGTCTTGCTGCAGCCTTTCTTCCCATCCCTCACTTACCTGAGCTTTGGCTGTCTCTGTAGGCTCGGAGCTGCTGTCTAGATTCTCTGTGCAGAGCTGCTCCCCTGCGGATCAGTGAGTAGAGAGAGGCAGGGAGGGAGATTCTGTAGCTTCTTATCCCTGCCTCTCTCCACACAAGCAGTGACCCCCTACTGGCCAGTGCTGGTATTGCAGAATAATCTCTGTTTATACTGAGACTGACATTTGTATTGCCGTTATTGCAGTAAGCTAGGCAGCCTGAAATACCTGAAAAATACTTATGAGAAATGTGAATGGTGGGCAGAACAAACTGACCCTGGGGAGTGGAGACAAATGGACAGAAAAAAGAGATGGTGAACAAGCAGGAGATCTCTACTGGTAAAGAAAAGCCCACATAAAAACTAGAAAGAAAATCAATAAATAGTAGTAGAGAAAATCTACGCATACCAGGAGATCTCTTACTAGTTAGTGAAAATGGAGGAACCTAGAATATCTAAAATATCTCAACTGATATTTATAATTGCAAGAAATAGTGTCAGAAATTAAAAATGTGCTTAAATCGCTGAAATTAGCAGACCTTAAAATATAAAAGGCTGGTTAAAATATATATGCATACACTAGATGGCAGCCTAACATAAAGGAACTGCAGTTTAAACGGGCTCTTCTAGTAAACAGTGAATATTTTAAACATACAGAATAAAAAATATTTTTGGATAACTCCAATAAAAAACTCTTAAGATTTTCTAATAAAAGTATATGTGTAAACCAAAAAGGAGTATTCTAAATCTACTAAATTGTCCAAATGAGGTCCAAATCAATGAATGGATGAGGTAATATCCAGTAAATGCTTGTAATAAGCAAAGTCCTTAAAAGCAACAGTATCACATCCTGTACCATATGCTTCTGCTAAATGGAATAACAGTAGCAAATAAGTATCAGGTTGTGGGTATAATTTAACCAATATTGGTAAAGTAATAGATGGTAGCAGCAAACTGATAATTACTATTATACCACCAATGCAGGTATATAGTACTAAGATCTTAAATGATCAGTGATGATGTTGAGAAAGTCCGAGGGATTTGTAATAAAATTCCATATTTATTGAAAATAAAGTTAAAATTAAGACAACACTTACAAATTAGAAGTGTAAAGTCCCAGCAAATGAGTCCTTATTTGGAAGTGTAATCGGATGATGTTCAGCAATCTGAGGGAAGCTTGCTCCGGCCGGTGAGATGATGTTCCTGTGTTCGGAGAGGTGAGCCACCTCTTGCGTGCGTTCCACTCGGAACGGTTGCTCGGTAGCTGGATCAGTGTACGGCAGTTGCCGGAAAATGCCTTACGCTTTTCGTGACAATGCACAGTCACTTCTTCAGAGGCGGATGGACTTCTAATGCTGCTGTCTCGTTTTATATACTCATTGGCTCAGCTCACTATCAGCTGTTTAAATACTATAGTAAAATCTCTCTTACAAAGCTTATGGACAATAAATATAATAATAAATAAATAAATGCATACACAAATGTTCACATAAAAAATTTCACATAGAAAGTTCACAACATGACCCAAATTGTAGATAAGAAATAAGTGAATAAAGGAATTACATGTTAACCACATTTCAAATATATCACAAACAACTATTCTCCTAAACAATATACCATATTTGGTCACTAAAATTCGTTAAATGATTTTAGATTAGTTCTTACATTGAGTGTGCAAGGTGAAGTGGTCAGAGGATAAACTCAGAGGTTGAAAACATTTTGCAGGTTGAAAAAAGCTCATCTATGTTTCTAGTCTCTAAAATCTGAATTAAGATTCAGATTCAAATTTTCAAGGGTGCCCAAAGGGGAGGTTCTGAGCCTAAAGTGGTTATAAACTCTATTATTATTATTATTTGTATTTTTATTCTTATTTGTATTTTTTTTTTATTCTTGTTTTTAATTTTAATTTTATTTTATTTTTATATTTATTTTTATTATTTTATTTTTATATTTATTTTTATTTATTATTATTTTTATTTATTTTTATTTAGATTTATTTAGATTTATTTTTATTTTCATTTATTTATTTTTATATTTATTTTGAATTTTGAATTTTATTCAATATTTGTTATTTTTCTGTTTATTTATCTCTCTCTAATCCAGTGATTTCACTCACTAACACTTTCTAATTTTGAATTTTTATTTTTATTCTTTATTTAAAGGGCCCTTCATTTGTAATCTATATTTGTCTTTATTTTTATTCAGCATTCATGTGTCCATGACACATTATTAACAGATTTGTAATTTTAGTGTGTGCATATAGGGTGTACTGGGATGGGTCACCTAAGGATACATTCCATTCTAACGATGCTGGCTGCAAGAGTTGTTTATCTTTGATTTAACCATGTTTGTGCTCCAGTTCTTGCTCAAAATTCAGAACTAGCATGATCTTTGTAAACAGTGAATCGCAAAAGTTAAATCAAAAGTTGTGTTTTATTGTGAATGTAGATACACAGAGGATACATAATGATGATCTGTGTATTATAGAAAAATAAAGCCATTAAGGGGTTCAAGAAATATCATGTAGACCACAAGACTGAAAGTTGAAAATATATCATCAATATATTTGTTATATTTTCTCATGTTTTTAGGTTAGTGTTAGTGTATGGGTAATTGGTTAGAATGGGGTTACTATTTGGGGTAGCTGTTGGGATGTTTAGTTGAAGTGTAGTGTAGAGGGTTAATGTGATAGTATAGTGCAGGGGTAGGCAACCTTAGGTGCTCCAGATGTTGTGGACTACATCCCCCATAGTGCTCTTACACCCATAATGCTGGCAAAGCATCATGGGGGTGTAGTCCAAAACATCTGCAGTGCCGAAGGTTGCCAATGCCTGTAGTGCAATTAGGGTCTGTGACATGTAGAATTGGGGTATATACTGTAGTCTGTTAGGGTAGTGTAGGGATTAAGGGAAGAACTTTGCATAAACGTAGCAGTATGACAAACATGTTTCAGTGCTGCCTGAGATTAGTGAAAGTTACGGTCCCAGGAAGCAGCTATATCAACTGCTGTTATTAAAATGATGGTACTAATCTCAGCCACTAATCTCAGACCACTCAGACCACATTACCACTCACTAATTATGGCAGATCATGTAATAAGTATTTATTAAGCCACAATCATGCTTTTGTAATATATTTGTGATTTTTAGATTGTTTATTTAACAAAACAGTGGATTTCCTCTTCAGAGGTGGGTCTTCCATTTTTGGAAATTGAGAACATGTCACCAAGCAAGAGTCAGAAAGTAATTAATGATTTACTGTATGTATGTTTATCATGTTTTCCTTCCATTTTGTAAAATGGGGTGGCCAAATGGTAGATCCTCAGTTGCTTAACGCATGTTGTTTTACCAGCTGTAAGGTTGAGGGGCTTCTTCCTGGCTATACCTCTTCTAAAACATTTGTTTCATGCATATAATTATATCTTCACTTATATGTCATAAAAATATCTTCACGCATGTTGCAAACATGTTTTAATATGTGTGTAGCATTTCAGTTATTCTGTTTTGAAATATTTGTTCTAAGTAATACAAATATTTACTCAGAAACAAAAGATACTATGCCAACTAAGAAAAAAAACGAGATGCAAATACGAACATGATTATTGGCAAGATGAACCAGGTAGGCGTATAAAGGATTTACATTGTTCCAATAGATATAAAAATATTGTTAACAGGAATAAACCACTTCTTTTCTTGTGGCACATTTTCTAGAACCTTGCAGATTTGTTTTCTTGATTGTTGCTTTCTCTTATAGTCATCACAGAATGGTGCTTTCACGCTCCTGGACGCTAGTTAAACACTTTGAAGGGGCTCCGAAATTATCAGACTTCAAGTTAAAAGAGGTGAAATTACCAGCCATTAAACATGGAGGTAAGGTCGTTTTTTGATAGTAATACATTCTTTATGCTCTTGTTATCCATCCAAAAGTGGATGTTTTTAAATTCTATTCATTTGTTCAATGATCTTATTCCAAGGGTCTTAGAACAAACCTCCAGTTGCTTCTCTTCCATTTGCAACTGGATGGAAGAAAAGTCTAAAACCGAGCTTCTTATATTTCCCCTCTTGTATTAATAATCCTTCTCTATAACTCTCTCTGCAAGTTGATTGTATGCATACCAGCTCATCCTTACAAACTTGCAGCCTTGGTGTTATCTTTTATTCCGGCCTCATATTCAGTCTATCGCCAAATCCTGCTATTTTCATATTAAAAGCATTGCCTGCATCCATCACTTTTTTATGCAAAATGCTACTAATGAATTTGTTCATACTCTTGTAGTTGGTCTCTCCGGAAACCACACCACCTCTTTACAGTCTGTAATGAATGCTGCTGCCAGGCTGATTTTTCTCTCCTTTCGCAACTTTCAAACGTCACCTGTCAGTCAGTCATTACACTTTCTTCCTGCCTCTTTATAACCACTGGCTTATCTGTGCATGAGACCTTCTCATGACTGCTACTCATACCCATACTGCTAACTTAATCTTGCAGGACTTCTCTTTGGGGAGCACCACTCTTACTGAACAGCCTGCCTCCTCCCATCAGACTCTCTGAGTCTCTAATCCTTTAAAATTGCTCTAAAAAAATATTCAAAATAGGCTATGGACTCCCAGGCCAACTGTCATTGCTCTCTCAACTTAATTAGTGAGTCTGTTGTCCACTTCAATCTTACCTTTCAACCCTGCTACTTTTCCACCCTGTCACCTGGTTGCTATACCCATGCTATCCTTCCTATTTTGTTTTTATACCCCTAGATTGTAAGCCTGTTTGAGCTGGGTCCTCATTAACCTATTGTCCATTTTGTAACAGTTTGTCTTATTTATTGTTAAATTCCTTCCTTTATTGTAAAGCACTGCAGAATTTTCTGAGCTAGTATATTCTCGTTCATAGGTGTGTGCACAGAGTGTGCCGGGTGTGTCTGGGCACACTCTAATCTAGGGTACCCATGTGTCCCGGAACGCCCAGGACAGTCCTGCTTTTTGTCACCTTCATTATGGTACATTGTACTGGGCCCCACATTAGTGAAGAGAGGGCCCACTGGCTTCCCCACTATGCCAGCGCCGCGGGCCCCTATTTGCAGCCAGCCGTGGGAGATGTGGGAGTGGCAACACTCCCTCCCCTCCCAGCACTGCGAGAAAGTGAGGTCACATGCGATGATGTCACTTCCTCCCAGCGCACTTTGCAGATGGCCGCGTGGGAAGAAAGAGAGAGGAGCACCCAGGGTGGGGGGTGAATTGACATGAAATTTGGGGGGGTATGTCAAAAATGGTGGAATGGATATGAAATATGGGGGGGTATGAAATATGGGGGGGATGGACATGAAATATGGGGGGAATATGAAATATGAGTGGGAATAGATACTGAAACCCACGCTACGCCGCTGTGTCCGGTGTGAAAAGGGGGTCCGGGAGGGGCAAGGCAGTGTCCCTGAATGGCATTTTCTAAATGTGGTCACCCTACCTAAATAAAGCCTCAGAATTGAGGCTCTGTACTGCACTGCTGCTATGCTATTTGTTATGCTGCCATTATATGGGGGCTGCGGGGCCGGCAATTCGCAATGGGAAGGTGCGAGTGTCGCTTTGCCTTTAAGACATTTGGTTCACCTTCCTTTCCATTGGCTGTCCACCTCCTCTCTCTGCAAACCTCATGACCTGACGGCTGATGTCAACACCTGCGACTGATGCGTGCTTTTGCAAGGAGTCAGCAAGGAAAGGGGCGGCTGCAGATAAAGAGAGCTGGCAGAGCAGACAGGCACAGGCTTTCCAGGACCCCAGTGATTTGTGCAGGCAACAGACCTGATAATGGATCACGATAAGAGAAGCTAAAATTATACACTCTTTCACTACACAGTACTGTGTATCACTATCAAACAAAAGAGGAGTAAGAGAGAATAACTTAATTTTACGTCATGTAATATTGTAACTGCAGTAGGAAAACTGCTAAGCTTGGAGATTCCTATATGTGACATAGAAATCCTTGCCAACAAATTTAAGGTGTCAGTGGATCAATGGGAAGCAGAAGCCACACTGCTAAGGGGGTATGATGGACCTACTCTTAAAGGTTGCACCACAAATACCATCAAAGAGTGGCTTGATTGTTTTAACCCCTTAAGGACACATGACATGTCATGATTCCCTTTTATTCCAGAAGTTTGGTCCTTAAGGGGTTAAAGAATCAGATCGATTCAACACATTTAATGCTTATTATAAGTGTGTTCAGTGCTTTACAGTGTTACTTGTGACAAGCTGTTCACGTGAAGAGCCTTTTCAAAACTGACACACGTAAAAACCAAACTGAGGAGTACAATGCCCCCTTGATGCACTCGTGATATTATATATTGAGCAAGAATTGACTTGGTCAGCTACTTATAACGAGGTCATTGAAGAATTTAAGTCTATAACACCTTCTGTACGATGTCTTCTTCTCTAAAGCATACAAGTGAGGAAACCATAATAGTCTGTAGGGGTCATGACAACTTTACTGATGCCAACTTGGCTTAAAGGACCACTATAGTGCCTGGAAAACATACTTGTTTTCCTGGCACTATAGTGCCCTAAAGGTTGCCCCCACCCTCAGGGTCCCCCTCCCGCCGGGCTCTGGGAAGAGGAAGGGGTTAAACTTACCTCTTTCTCCAGCGCCGGGCGGGGAGCTCTCCTCCTCCTCTCCTCCCTCTTCTCTTCCTCTTCGGCTGAATGTGCATGCGGATTTTCACAGTGAGAAGCACGCAAGGGCCTCTAGCGGCTGTCAACTGGAGGCTGGATTAAGCCATTTATAAACATAGCAGTTTATAAAAAACATCTATGTTTATAAAAAAAAGGGTTAACCCTAGCTGGACCTGGCACCCAGACCACTTCATTAAGCTGAAGTGGTCTGGGTGCCTATAGTGGTCCTTTAACTGCTTCTTGCTTAGAAGATACTAGAAAAAAAAACTTTAGAAACCTTGCTGATGGGCATTTTCTGCTCTACCACCAGTGCCTATAGTGGTCCTTTAAGCAACATTTTGATTTAGTTTCTGTTGTAACAATTCCCATGTACCATGCTTATTTATTTTAAATGTGTTTTTAAGTTTAAAAATTTGAAATGTTTGTTTACATTGCTAAATGCTTATTTAATAAAAAAAAAAAAGTTTTAATTTTTTTTTTAAATGTTTGTATTGAAATTTATATGAGTGCGGGTCTGTGTATGTATGTATGCAAGAGTGTATTTGTATATACACTGAACACAATTCTAAACGCAACACTTTTGTTTTTGCCCCTATTTCTCATGAGCACCAGGGAGCCCAGTGGTTTACCAGGGAGCCCACACTAGACCACCAGGAAATAAATAAGGTATTTAGTCCCCCCTCCCTCACACTATCACCCCCCTCCTCTCACCATCACTCCCCTCCCTCACACCATCTCTCCCCTCCCTCACACAATACCTCCTCCCTCTCACCATCACCCCCTCCCTCACACTAATACTCACCCTCCCTCACACCATCACCCACTCCCTCTCATCCTCATCCCCCTCCCTCACACTAACACCATCACCCCCCCTCACCATCACCCCCTCACACCATCACCCCGTCACACCATCAGCCCTTCCTCTCACCACTTCCCTTTACACTAACACCCCACCTCCCTCTCACCATCACCCACCTCCCTCTCACCATCACCCCTCCCTCACACCATTACCCCTCCCTCACACTATTACCCCCTCCCTCTCACCATCACCCCCCTCACACCATCACCCGCCTTCCTCACACCATCACCTCCTTCTTCTCACCATCACACCCTCCCTCTCACCATTAACCCCCCTCCCTCTCAGCATCACCCCCACATAAACCACATTGTATCATATTTGTTTTGCTTCAAAACATCAATATCTGTTATAAAACCAAGAAAATTGGGCATGGATGGTGAGCTGATTTGGTTGTGAAATGAGCCACTTTACTTGACTTGCCCCACAGGCCTAAGGCTGCCAGCCCTCCCCTGGAGGTGACCCATTTATTAACTAACAAAAATTTTAATTATTCCAAGCTTTCATCAAACATATCCAATTAAAAGGTCCACAAAAATTACTCAGACCACTTAATCTCAATGAAATGGTCTTGTTGCAAGGATACTTTAGTTTTAGTTGTTTTAGAACTGCAATGTTTACATAGCCTGGTTAAATCCACTTCTAATGGCTGTCTTCCCAAATAAAATTTGGTCATTTGACGGAGAAGCTCATAGAAGCAAACTATTTATTTTTAAATCAAGTTGACAAATAAACAGCTCTTCAGCTGTTTTGAAGCAACCTCTCACATAATGCTTTGTATCATTGGTAGTCACGGTAGATAGAAAACTACCCACTGACAACCCTAATCTAAATTATACTTCAGTCAATTATTATCGTTAGCATTAGTAAATGGGGGCAAACATTCATGCAATTCTTCCACCCTTCCTAAGTAGAATGGTGTCCCCAGCTGTTCCCACCTCCTATACCACCAGCACTATATTTAGTATACCGCAATACACAAATAAAGTGACTCAATCCTAATTTTCCTACAGAGCACCACAATTATGTAATAACCTCATGGACACAGTCAAATCTTCATTCACACTAAAATATTTTAAGAGATCTATGACAACATTTCTCAATACAGAATGCACCTGTAATCACAGTTTACTACATTTCTTACCTTTTCTCTGTTAAATTGATATATGTGGGTATGTATGTATATTTATATATATATATATATATGTTGTATTTATTTATTTTTGTAATATTATATTGTAACCATGCAGTGTTTGTGGGCCCGGGTCATACTTGAATCAAGAGAAATCTCAATCTATCCTTCTTGGTAAAATATTTTATAAATAAATTAAAATTATTCCTCTGTGTCACCTAACCATAATTATTCCCTCATCTATCTTTATTTAGCTGAGTTTATCTAGGGGACAGCCAGTCTGAATTCCTCCACTAGGAAGGTTTGTCTACCTTTTATTTCAAAATTACCAGTTTATACCAAGATGTGGCACCCTTATAATCCATTTTTCTTTTGGAATGCCAGAACCAGCTGCTAGTGGTGGTTGATTTTTAGCACTGCATTCACTATATTGTAATGCTTAAGTGGTATCTGTGTGACCTATATCAATTTCAGTGACCTACTGTGGTCAATATTTTTACTACATAGATAGATCAGTGGATTATTGGAGACTGTTTGGTTGAACCCTAGTGGCAACAATCTGGATTGGAATTTGGCTACATGGATTCTATTTATAAAATGTCTATCTATTTGGATAACTATTTGGTATATATAATCACTATATAATTTGATCATTTATAACCACCTTACCACCTTACTTATAGGTTGGGTCTCTTTACCTATAAGTAGCCTATATAGCCTCTTAGTAGGTTGGGTCTTACTAGTTCTGATAGACCCAAACTCTTGTGAATAAACATTTAAATAGGCTGGGTGTCTTTATTTATAATCACCTCTTTGTAGTGTGGGTCCTATGAGTTCAGATAGAACTGACTTCTTGTACAGACACACTTAACGTTAGAGAACTTCCCTCAGAATAAATACTTGAAGGACCTGGTAGCAGTGCTCCCTGTACCCCGGCTGGGTACCTCCGCCAAGGACCACTTCCCAGCTGAAACAGGGGAAAACCTCAGAGGACTTTCCTTGCCGAATCCTCCACAAGCTGGAACAAGGTGCTGAGTAGTGAATAGCCCTTCCCCTTCCAGTAACTAGAGACACATAGTTCTGGGAGTACAACTGATTTTAATGAGCCAAACTAGGCCTTTTATGCACAGACCCCAGCACAAGCCAAACTAGGCCTTTTATGCACAAGCCCCTCCTAGGAATATCTGGGTCTGGGAGATAATTGCGTTAAAGACAGGTAAGCTAATTATCTTCCAGGAACAGAAAGCAAAATACAAAAATATAAAAACATAAAAGTACTCAAAAACATAATAAAAACATTTAAATTAACCTTACAAATAATATATCTTTAAATTGCCCTAATCTGAGCCCCCAAGTTCTCCAAATAGCACTCAGACCACCGTGTTAAAGTTCTGACTAGCCGCACACATGGTCCTATGCCCAAAATAGTTCCAGGGTGCTTTTGCCTGTCAACTTTCAGGAGCTCCTGCAGCCGTAATACGGGGTGGTCCACTTGGCCTTTACGTAGCTTTTGTTCCCCTTAGTCTCAGGCACCTTCCCTCCAGTGGTTCAAAACCACAAACCAAGTTATCCTGGAACTGCACGGTCACCTCATGCCAAAAAACGTTCCATAACATTCACAACTTTGTCCTGCTGAGGTGACTGGGAACCCACAAAGTCCTCATGCAGAAATTAGTTCCATAGTGGTTGCAGGTAAGTACCGCTGAGGGCTATTCATGGGTTTGGTTCAAGTGAACGGCTGCCAGAGAGCTTGCATTTGGTGCCGAACCAGAGGCACCCAGGGAAAGCTATTAATGGCGGCTGGGCAGGGTAACTCCCAAACAGTGACTCAGACATGGACCATAGTCGGTGGGTAGGAGGCCGGCTTCCACACTCCTCCAGCGTTTGTCACAGGCCTCATTTTCCATAGTTTGTTTTCTTTGAAAATAATTACAACTTCTCAAAACCAATACAATGTGTATCCAATGGGTTAACACCTGTTTAAAATATTCGATTATTAAAGGTTAACCACATTTTCATTGTATCTTTTTGTTCTTGAGGAGGGCTGACCACTTTTGACGTTACAGGAATGTTAATGAGTATTTTGTCAAATTGTAGGCTTGTGCACAAATGCTAGAAATTAATCAAATGCCTTTTAAATTGTTAATTGAATAAGCCTTCACAGGTAACTCACAGATGAATTGATTTGTTTGGATGGAGATTAAAATACATTTTCAAGCAACTGCAACTCATTTGTGTACAAGTCTAATAAATAGTATTCAGTAATTATTAAATGTTTGTAATAAACTAATTTGCAATGTCAAATGTCAATTTGCACAATTTTAACGTTTGGCTGTGGGTTATGAAAAAGGCCACACCCATGTGTTAACTCTGCTCTAACATGTAATGCTATTATAGAAGGTTTATATTCACTGGTCTTTTATGCCAGCAAATGTCTCTGGGATGTGAGCTTTCATCTACTAAGCATCAATTTATACACTTTATTAACCCTTTAAGGACACATGACATGTGTGACATGTCATGATTCCCTTTTATTCCAGAAGTTTGGTCCTTAAGGGGTTAAAGCCATTCTTTTGGTTAGGAAAGCTTAAATGTCACGTTCTAGGATTTTTAATCCCTCTAGGACCAATGATTTTTTGAGATTCACATGATTATTCATTAATGTGAGAATTTAAAGTGATTTAATTTCCAATTCTGCTATTTTGGCCTTATTTGAAATTTACGATGAATTTACAATGAACTTTCACCTTAATTAAAAAAAAAAAAATTCTGTCATTGAGTTACTGACCAAGGCCTTTTGGTACTTATACTATCAGGGTTATTTACTGACAATTTAAAGTGAATTTCAAATTTAAGGCCACAGCAGCTAAACTGAAAGAATAGCTGACTTAAAGAATGATTTCAGTTCAGTTATTTTGATCGTAAATTTGAAATTCACTTTGAATTCTCACTTTAGTGAAAAACCCATCAAAAAATGGGAACAATGTAAAAAAAAAAAAAGAAAAAAAAAGAAATAGAAAATAGCTAAAGAAATAGAAATTAAATCATTTATTAATCCTGATTCTTAAAATGCAATCTTTTGTATGCTGACAACAACTTCAATAGTAGTTAAAAAATACAAAACTACTTCACAAATGTGTACATTACTTAAAAGTAAACCCCACATGGTGTTTACGTTTTGACACTTAATTTAACCATTTGATCACCAACCTCTTCCAAATCTGCCATTAAATTATTATTTTTTGTATTTTTAATACACATGGTTTATTCTCATGAGAAATCTTCCAATACTGTAAAGACTCCCTATTTGTATTCTGATAGTGCCTCCAATTACAACAATACCAACAGGTATACCTTTATCATCTGTGTGATGGATTTATATGTAGTGAAATAACAGGAATGCCATAATTTTTAAATGCATCTTTTCTTATAAAAAAAGGGGTTATATCTACTAAAGGTCTAAAAAGTTACATATTAATATTATTATTACTGGCATTTATATAGCGCCAGCGTATTCCGTAGTGCTTTACAATATTATCAAAGGGGGAGATTTAACAATAAATGAGACGATTACAAAAACTTACAGGAACAATAGGTTGAAGAGGGCCCTGCTCAGACAAGCTTACAGTCTATAGATAGTAGATATCCCACTACACGTCCAGAGCTATTAAAACAAAATAATTATCCACTATACATGTCTGATTCTAATAATAGGAACACATAATAAATAAATCAAACCAATAGGAAATAAATAGCAAAATGTTGCAAGCACTATTTCACTGGTAAATATGAAATATTAGATTATGCAACACAACTGCACTACTCTCTAGGGCTCTCAAATATTTTAAGCACCGAATAATACTTAAAGAATATAAAATTATTATAATTATGTTATTATTTATATAGCGCCAACAAATTCTGCAGCGCTTTACAGTGGGTGGACGAACAAACATGCAGTTGTAACCAGACAAGTTGGACACACAGGAACAGAGGGCCCTCAGTGAGCTTACATGCTAGAGGGAGTGGGGTAAAATGACACAAAAAGGTAAGGATAGTATTAGACTAATGACAGTTGCAAGAGAGAAATTAGTCGGGAGCGATTAACAGTTTAATTGATACGCTTTTATAGATGGCTACTAGATGTGCTACTAGATGTGCTTCCGGGGGCAGTGCTGCACATTTAGTGTCTCCACCCTATTGTCAGGGCTGTGTTTGGCTTGTCCTGGCTTTGCCCCTGATTTGCCTCCATGACAAGCTCAGTCAACCCAATGCCAACATCGTGATTGGCTCTGGTCATAACTTATGATGATGTCAGCCAAGTAGGCAGATCAGGGGCAGATCTGCCTACTTAGCCAGTCAATGTAATGACAGGAATGAATAAGTAGATAACTCCCTAATTCCCATGGTATTAGGGAGCTATCTACTAAAAGGCGGAAAGACCTAAATTGGTCTTTCAGCCAAATTTACTAATACTAAGTAAATATTACTTAGTATTAGTAAATTATGCCCCTACTCACGGTACAGTGAGCAGCCTGTGGCTGCTCAATTAAAAAAAACAACAACAAAAAAAGGTCCCCCCCTCCGAGCCCCCACCCTTGCCACGCGAGTGGGGGCTTCTAATCTGAAGGGGGGACCTATTGCCCCCCCCCGGCCCCCACCCCTGAAGGGTGGGTGGGAGCCCTAAAGTAAAATAAGGGGGGACCTATTGTCCTCCCCCGGCCCCCACCCATGAGCGGTGGTTGGGGGCCCTAAATTAGAATAAGGGGAGACCTATTGTCCTTCCCCCCCGGCCCCCACCCCCGAGCGGCGGGTGGGGGCCCTAAAGTAAAATAATGGGGAGGGACCTATTGTCCTCCCCCCGGCCCCCACCCCTGAGCTGCGGGTGGTGGGCCCTAAATCACCTAATGTCCTCCCCCCTGGCCTCCATCTCTGAGCGGCGGGTGGGGGCCTTAAATTAGAATAAGGGAGGGGGACCTAATGTCCTCTCCCCTGCCCCCCACCCCTGAGCGGCGGGTGGGGGCACTAAATACTAATAAGGGGGGGACCTAATGTCCTCCCCCTGGCCCCCACCCCTGAGCGGTGGATGGGAGCCCAAAATACTAATAACAGGGGGGACCTAATGTGGGTGGGGGCCCTAAATACTAATAACGGGGGGACCTAATGTCCTACCTCCTGGCCCCCACCCCTGAGCGGTGGGTGGGGGCCCTAAATTAGAATAAGGTGGGGGACCTATTGTCCTCCCCCCAGCCCCCACCCCTGAGTGGCGGATGGGGGCCCTAAATCAGAATAAGGGGAGGCCATAATGTCCTCCCCCCTGGCCCCCACCCCACGAGCGGCGGATGGGGGCCCTAAATCAGAATAAGGGGAGGCCATAATGTCCTCCCCCCCGGCCCCCACCCCTGAGCGGCGGATGGGGGCCCTAAATTAGAATAATGTCCTCCCTGCTGGCCCCCACCACTGAGCGGTGGGTGGGGCCCCTAAATACTAATAAGTAGGGGACCTAATGTTCTCCCCCTGGCCCCCACCCCTGAGCGGTGGGTGGGGGCCCTAAATTAGAATAGGGGAGGACCTAATGTCCTCCCCCCTGGCTCCCACCCCTGAGCAATGGGTGGGGGCCCTAAATGCTAATGGAGGGACCTAAAGTCCTCCCCCCTGGCCCCCACCCCTGAGCGGTGGCTGGGGGCCCTAAATTAGAATAGGGGGGGGCCTAATGTCCTCCCCCTGTCTCCCACCCCTGAGCAATGGGTGGGGGCCCTAAATGCTAATGGAGGGACCTAAAGTCCTCCCCCCTGGCCCCCACCCCTGAGCGGTGGCTGGGGGCCCTAAATACCAATAAGGGGGGACCTATTGTCCTCCTCCCTGGCTCCCACCCGAGCGACGGGTGGGGGCCCTAAATAAAAATGTAACCCACCCCCAGGTGACTAGGGGTTCCCAAACCCCTAGTCACACCTTCCCCCCAAAAAAAACTAACTCCTACCTACCCTCCTCACCCTAAAAATAATGAGGGGGACCCATTAACTAAGTACCTGTAAAAAAAAACAAAATAAAATTTACCATTTGATGTTTTCGTTCTTCTAAAATCTTCTTTTCTCAGCCCCAAAAAAGGCCAAATAAAAATCCATAATAACCAACGCACTTAAAAAATAAATACAAAATGCTTTCCTTTGGGGATTCCGGCAACGCTGGAGGTCCTCGTGCATAGCATGAGGACGTCCAGCATCATTTAGATGACCAAAAGTTGTCTAAGAACCCATAAGCCCCTCTAGTAGCTGTCTGGTAGACAGCCACTAGAGGAGGACTTAACCCTGCAAAGTGATTATTGTAGTTTATAAAAAAGATTAAGGGTGATGTTAGTTGGCACCCGGACCTCTTCAGTGGGCTAAAGTGGTCTGGGTGCCTACAGTGTCCCTTTAAGCTCACCGCTTGACAGCTTCTGGTGCCATGGCACTAGGAGCTTCAGGAGTTACAAAACGCATAATTTGTTCAACAAATTAATTTCCAATAAATTAATTTGATCTACAGTTATCTAAATCAAGTATGCACAATTGCTGGCATCAAGGGGTTAATACTAACCCTAACAACAATCCTAGCCCTACACAGACACTAACCAAACATTACCCTAACATTGACTCTAACACAAGCTCTAACACCACCTCACTCTACAAACTACTGACCATAATGCTCATGCAGAGATATACCCCAACTGATGTCACTGTTGACATCAGCAGAAGGGTTTCCCAAATTACAAAGTACTTTAGGAGAGAGAGAGACCTATCTCTTATTCTCCAGATTCATGCTGTCTTTACCAGTTACACGGTGATCATTATTGTGCAGCATGTACAGCCCAGCTCTGATCACTTTTGAAAGGGAGGCATGCAGAGTGTCCCCAACATCCTGTAGTTCTCCATATCTCCAGGAAATCTTGAGATGACCATACATTAACACAGCATACCATTCATTTCAACTGCTGCTATAGATGCGGATAAAATACTAAGAAGGGTAAACATGGTAGACCATTTATTAGAAAATACGCTTTTTAAACAATCCTTTAAAAAATATATAAATAAAGCTCATACTTGCTATTATATTACCACACAGATGTATTGGCATGTATTCTTATCCAATTTGTAAAAGTGTAGATCATAATAAAGTGAGCAGAGAATCTTTTAAGTAATGTATTTAATGAAGGTATGTCAAATATTAAATTCAATTGTGTTTGAAGTGCCATAAAACAGTTAAAGTGGGAAATCATTGTCTGTTTTGCCATCCTCTTGCCATAACTAAGTGTCTTTTATGGGGCATAGCTTACTTTTCAGTGGAATAAGTTGTGCCCAATAAAACCTGTAAATCTATTGTTTCATTTTGCAGCCATATTACAGGTAAAAAGGCATAAGCACATTAAAAAAATAGCACATTTATCCTGGAAGATTTAACAACTGGGTAGGTCTGTTCTAAAGACTTGCACATGCAAAAAAAACACACTAAATGCTCCTGAATGATTTAATGGCAATATTATCTAATCACCATACAGCTGCCCTGGTAAACTTTCACGGGTTACTCCAAGGGTTTACCATCATGACAACATTGACTTGAAGTGATTATGGTGCTTAGAGCTTGTATCCACAGTGTTTCGCTGTGAAATGCTGCGCATACAGAGTTTAACCCATTTTTTGTGTAACCTCGAGCAGCATCATTGGGACATCATTAGTAAACACAGAATAAGTCAGATGCACATCACTTTGTTGCTCGGTGGAACCCAGTGAAGAGGTCACGTCACTGAAAATGGTTTGCCCCATTACCAGGGAACAGTGCCAGTGGTCTCTAGTAGCTATGATGCATGCAGTAACACTTCAACACAAACTCCCAATGACCTCATGCTTAGTGCTCAGAGACGAAAGATTATTTTAGCAAAAACATAAAAAACACAAAAATAACCTTTATTTGGAACAGCAAAGAGGCATCATTTTCTTCTGGTGATGGAGGGATTTCTCAAGTAGCAGGGAGGCTATGGTTGGGCCTGCGATATAAACTCTTTGTAGAATGTGAGTACACTGGGGTCAAAGTGTCTAAGGTTGCAGTGCTGGAAGTGGATTTTTTTCCTGGTACAACTACCAAGGTCTGCAGCCTGAGTTCTTAAACATGATTTGATGACTCAATTGGTGACATATGTCATTTTGTCCTCTCTTCTCACTAGGTCACCAACAAGTCTATGGGTGGCCAGTAGGGGTGCCAGTATTGTGTTAACATTTTTACTTTGACTTGCACAGCTTTGATCATAATTACATCTACCTCTCAAATAATAACATAGTAAACTTAGTTACATTAGTGCACATAGCAATAAAACTGTGTATCACAGGTTTTATTGATTCAACTAGCATGGAGCTCATTTACTTGCAATATAAATTCCACCACCAAGGGGCACTACAGTATATATTTGTACTATGATAGTGTATTTTGAACAAAACATTTACCTTGCCACCATAACTGTTTGTAAACCTTTTTCAAAGCTATCTTATCTGCATATTTACGGAATGTACAAATATAGATGAATTTCTTTAGATACATTTTAAGCTTGTGGTTAATTTGATAGATCCCAGGTACTATGTCCAAATGTGGAGTTAGGTTATTTGGCAGCCAAGGTGTGTGTTGGTACTCGTTCTCCAGAAATATTTACATTGTTTGATGGGTTGCTACACCTAAGATTGTGCTTCTCCACACACTGCATTACCCTTTGACAGTAACATGCATATAAATAGATATGTGTTTTTTCCAAAGTATTTAACCCCTTCACTACCAAGCAGTAGTAAAATCACCCCAGAATCTGAGTATTTTGGGTGTCCTGGAAAGTAATGTTTAAATGAAGCCCATGGAGAAAGCACAGCTTAGGGAATAGGGCCCTGACAGGTCTAGGAGGTGGGCTAGGGGCCGAAGCAATAGTGGGGATTGGTGGGCTAGTGTTTGGGGGTTAAACAATATAAAGGGTTGGCCACTTTGGATCCCTCATTCTAATGTCTTACCTTGCAGAGTTGGTCCCTTCTTCCATTTTATAGTCTTTTTTTCCCCTGTTTGGTCATGGCGGCTGTGTGGGGTAAGGAATATTAAGGGACAAATGGGCCTTAGCTAATATAGGAGTAAGGGCAGTTAGTTGATTGGTTAAAAGGGTAAACTGTTTGTACAAGTTTTGGTAGGTTTCGAGTCCGTTGGTGGCTCAGAACCTCGGTGGTGCAGTGTTATATGGGTATACCCCTACCAGGTGAAATTGATGAATGTTGGCACTTTATATGTTATATTTATATGGTTGTTATATATTGTGAATTATGCTATGTTGTGGGTGATTGCCTTGATTTACATATGGGAGAGATGATATCATGTTGGGGGTGTGGCGGGTAATGACCTTTATATAATTGTATATCATAAGTTATTATTATTATCTTTATTATCATTAAAGCTGTGACAATTATGACCCATACCTAAAAGTGTCGGTGTCTTATTGGGTGGGTTTGAGTTTAGGTTCAAGGGATCCCTACCCTGCCCATATGGCGACTATGCACCTATCATATATTTTTCGTTTCAGTATGCCTAGATGGCACGTTATTTAATGGCAACAAAAACAAAAATTTTGTCTGGAGAAAAAAAAATTAACAAAAAAATTATTTACTAATTAATGAGGTTACAGATAGGAATACATTGTGGTAAATAAACAGCATTTCTCAATCTCACTTCTCTATAATATTCTGAACTATACATTGTCCAATATGCACTCAGTTCTCTTGTGTCTGTGTGTGTGTGTGTGTATCCCTAAGTATATCGTATATGATGTCAAATTACATAACATTACCCATACCATATCACCCTCACATTGCAGCTATGTTGTAATTTTGGAAACAAATGCAAATTAACATATATACACTAGAAACATGCATACACATACACACTCTGATAAACACACATACACACACACACACACACACACACACAAACCCACCGAGGTATAGAGAGACTACAAAATTAATAAAAGGAATGGAACAAATCAGCTATGAAGAAATGTTAACAAATTTAAACCTATTTAGTTTAGAAAAACGTCTCCTGAGAGGAGATATGATAACATTATACAAATATATTCGGGGGCCAATACAAACCATTGTGTGGAAATCTATTCACAAACCAGACTTTACATAGGACACGACGTCATGCGTTTAGATGGGAAGAAAGAAGATTTCATCTAAGGCAAAGGAAAGGTTTTTTTTACTGTAAGAACAATAAGGATGTGGAATTCGCTGCCTGAAGAAGTGGTCCATACAGATGTTTAAACAGCTACTAGATGCATACTTGCAAAAACAGAATATTCAAGTATATAATCTTTCAATGTGGGGTAATAAGTGCTTGATCCAAAGATAAATCTGACTGCCATTCTGGGGTCAAGAAGGAATTTTTTTCCTAGCTTGTTGCAAAATTGGAAGTGCTTCAAACTGGGTTTTTTGCCTTCTTTTGGATCAACAGCAAAAAACAAATGTGAGGAAGGCTGAACTTTATGGACGCAAGTCTCTTTTCAGCTATGTAACTATGTAACTATGTAACAATGACACACATATACACACTCACATACATTGGCAGATGCAGTCACACAATCACAGTGTGTGTATGTCAGGGTGTATTGTTACCTGTGTGCATGTCTGGTGTGTATGTGCCTGAGAGATGTGTCTGGCAGTGAGTATACTTGTGCATCTGTAAATGTATATTTGTGTGGATGTGTATGCATCACTGTGCCTGCAATGCACAGTGTCTGTGTATCTCTGTGTCTTTGAGCATATGTGTGGAGGGAGCTGAATGTGCTGTATGTTGTGTATGGGGTGAGCTGCATGTGGTCTTGCTGTGTGCATTATGGTTACGATGGGGCTGTGTTTTGAGTTGTGATTGTGTGAGTATAAGGGTTACTGCCTGTGTATTGGTGCATGTGTGTTTATGGGTTACTGGGTGGTTGTGACAGATTGAGTTTGACAGAGTGACTTAATTTGTAATGATTGTAATCATGTATACACAATTGTGATGTGTGGCTGCAGACCCTTGGAATCGTGAATACACAATTGCCGAATTGAAGTGGTAAATTTTTAAGTATACAGAAATGTATGTTACAGAAATAGAAATACAGGTAACACAATTATTACATAAAAACAGGTAAATATGAACACTTGAATATATTTGAGAACAGAGTATACTATATTTAAATTACTAGCATACGCTGAACTATAATAGAATAGATTTAAAATATTAGCAATAGTATTTTTTTTAGAAACCCTTCAATTTTGAGAACCACACTTAGCTGACTCTACATGTCTCAATTTTCTGCTAGCATACAGGGCAGTGAAAACAGAAAAGAAAGACATTTCAAGAAAAGCAGTACGATAAATAATATAAATAAATAAATAAAAAATAGCAGATTATCACAGATCTTACAGTAGGGGCGCAACAAAAGGTAGAGTGCTAGGAAGTTTAAGTATAGAAGAGAACATATGGGAGAGAAGACAAGGGAAAGGTGAAGAGATAGCAATTATGAAAACTGAATGCAAATACGAAAAAAACAACAATAATTGATATAAACAAATAAAGGCAGAAAGAGAGTCACGAATCTTCAAATTCCGTTGACCAGGTTTCCATATTTTTTAAATGGGGTGACAGAATCGTGTATTACAGTTATGCATTTTATGCTATAATTGTATTTGATTTTACACACAGGGTGTAGTTTGCTTGGAGGTAGCCTTTTCAAAAACGTCATAATATAAATTATAGCAACTGTACAATTTCTAGGTGTCAGTTTCAGGGTATTATAGGGAATAATTGAGTTGCTTTAATGTTTAGCAAGCTAAGCAGAGAATTGGCACAATACCGACTCTCGTAAGAGAGCGGATGATGCCAAAGACTTTATTTAAGAGTACCAACAATTAGTGTTATTGGGTAACCATGAGGATAACGGATCCTTAACCACAGTTTTAGATAAAAAGAGTTGTAGGAGGTTACTATACCTTGTTCCATATCACTTGGTCTGACTGTGGCAGAACTATAAGTGGGAGATCCCAAAACACTGGCTTTCTTCATGCATATATTTTGAAGTAGAAAAATAGATTTAAAAAACTGTCAAGACCAAGCACATACCTCATATGGAATAAAACCTATATCTCCTCACATCAGTAATGCTGTACTTTTTTTTTGCTTTGCAGAGGTGTTGCTGGAAGCAGAATATTTCAGTGTTGACCCTTACATGAGGTACATATGTAACTTATATTAATGTACATAAATAGTAGATGATATTGATATAACAAAAAAAAGGCAATTGTGAGCCCTAGAAAAAATATACAGTATTTGGTCACCCTTTAGTAGACATGAAAGCATATTTTCATATCACTGCGTTTGCACCCTGAATCTCCCCTCTACCTCCCATAATGTTTTTCGTTCTCCTCCTCGCCCTGCTAGGCTTATTTATTATTTATATAGTGCCATCAAATTCCGCAAAATGAAATACAAAATAAATAAATAAAACCCTCTTGCAATACCCTTGGGGCCTGCTTGAAATGTTTTTTTGCAATATATCACTGGAGCTTTGCTTATGTTGGTGAAGGTAATGTGTCTCAATTCTTAATCACTGGCTGTGGCAAAGAGTAAAGTAGGATGTAGTTTCTCTCTACAGCCAGCAAAGGGTATGCACCAAGCTCCTAACTGTCATAATTTGAATACAATAATATTAAAATAATATTTATATTAATACGATTTATGGGATTGAGACAGGTCAACAGGCCCTTTAGTGACATCATGCCCATAATGCCCATAATCATCGGGCCACCCAAGAAAGGGATGTGTCAGCCATGCCAGGCTGACAGGCTCTCACCTGGCCTTCTACGTATAGGATCATGCAGAGAGTGCTCCTGACGTGTTCTCTTCATGATCCTGTGCCCATGGTACAAAGCAAGAGTGTTTTATAATGCTCTGGCAATGTTTTGCACTGGAGCAGTCCCCTGGTGTCCTCAGATGTGGCATGACAGGACCCTAAAATAGGCAGGACAGTTGTGAGGCTTGCAGCAGCCCACATCCCTCTCTATAGTATTGGTCTGGCAAGAGATGTCCCCTTGTCCTCATTGTCAGCCCTTCCCTACATGCAGTGATGATGGGATTCTGTAAAACCGGACCAAAAATGGAAGATTAATATAAACAAACTATTGAGTTTAAAAAAAAAATGTATTGATGCACAAAATAACAACAGTAAAATCACCATAAAGATAACAAGTTTTTTCCCACTTTCATTTTCAACTCCCACATATTTTCTTCCCTCAAATTTTTTTTTACTTTTTTCTTCCAACACAATCCAGATAATAATCAACTCAAATCCCACTTCTCCAAAATAAATGCAGTGTTTGAAATGATGTTGCTTGGCTTGTAATGACCCAAGTTAGCTACCTGCACTAGTATATCAAAATCTAACAATATTAGGCTATTGTATCTCACACTTTATCGAAATCTACACTAGTCATAGAAATACATTGTTCTCAATAGTGAGAAACATACAGCGTTTAAAGTAGTTTAACATTGAATTTATTTTCTTAGACCTTACAGCAAAAGGATGATGAAAGAAGGCGACATCATGATGGGAACACAGGTTGCCAGGTAAACATTGACTTTTTTGGTTACCTTCTTTCTATTATTTCTATCATTTCTATATTTGAAATAGGTAGTTTATATATGTAGGGCCTCTTTGACCTGATTACATCAGTAGCTGAAACAGATTGGTAATTAAATATACCACCACACATCCATCTAAACTCTGTGAAAAGTGCACTGATTGCTTCTCTCAGTTAGTGAAATTGTTGGGAAATGAATTAGTCCTCATTTGATGGATGAAATCCAGATGCAAATGCTTCAAATCCTACCCTGCATGCTTCAAATCCAAGTATGAATTTAAAAAAAATTCCAAACTAGTTAAAAACCCTTGGTGGCACAAGGATTAATTGTGTGGCACCTAGCCAGTACTTGTTAGCCAGCCATCACAAAAAGCACTGTTACTGATTTAAAATAGGACTTTCTCCACTGTGAGATCTGTGCTGAGCCCTCGCATGGCAAATACGGATTATTTTTATTGGTTCATTTTTTCTACCTTTTTTTTTCTTTCTAATCAGGGCTTTAAAAAAAAAAATAATAATAATTTTCATTAGTTGCATTAGGAATTATAGATTTTAATTTGTCTTTTTCTGTGGCTGAAGAAGAGAAGAGTCAAAAGAAGACTTATGATGGTAAGTATCATTGTTTAGTTTACAGGTATTAGAGTTATTTAATATTTTTTTTAAAGTTATTTAATTATTAAAGGGGTTAGTGGCCATACTGTTATTTTGGCAACAGACAATGGCATATTCAACACCCTTTTGTATAATTATTTATAGTTTATGGGTGAGAGCTGGGGGGGTCACTATTACCCCTTCAGTTTTATAGTTAGGGCTTCCACCCACCATGCATGGGTGGTGTCCAGAGGACATATTAGGATCTCCCTCCTTGAATATTAAAATTAGAGTCCCCTCAAGGGTTTTTACCTATTCTACCGCTGAATGCTAGCTCTACCAGCATGCAAATTGTTCCTCAAATTGTCAATTAATGTGAAAAAACACAAGTGAATGATAATTATAAAAATGTGCATCCCGCTGGATGCATTTGGTTCCACATTTTATTAATATTGGTTATTTGTGAATCTTTCAAATCCTATACTATATGTGTATGGTTCAGGTGTGAAAGCAATGACTTTAATCCAGACACTGAATGCATTTAGCCAATTGCAGCATATTTGCTTTGGTTGAGTGAATTCCGTCTTTAGTAAGTATGATATTTACAAGTATGGGTTAAATTTGGTCATTTTTACAGTATTCTATCCATCAGGACAAAATCCAGTGTTACGTGGCTTACCCTGTCAGTGTGCAAATCATTTTCAAAGTCTGCATACCTGAATATCACCCCAACTATATTTATGTACAGTATTCCTACTGCTGCTAGATGATGCTCAAATCACTTATTGTTCTAATGTTATTATTATTGTTATAATGCATTTTTCATTTCTGGGAGATCTCGAGGCATTTCTTGATTTTGATTTGGTGATGATTTCAAATCATGCTGATATCCATGGAATCCCTTTTATACACCAGGACCTACAAATTGCACTTGTGATGCCCAACTCAGACACCACTACCTGGTTTTATCTTTGACTACTGATTTGTTTCTCCCCACCTCGTTCACTATACCTGGTGGATGAAAAGGATGAGGTTTGAGTCTTCTTAGAGAGAAGAAGTGGGGTTGAAGTTTAGGGTATAGGTGTGATGGGAGATAGTCTTTTGTGGCTTTGAATCGTTCCATTATTAAAAGTTATTTTTTAATTTAATATATTTGTTTTCATGGCAGTACTTTTTCTTTTCTCATTATATTTGTGGCTTTTTAAGTTCAGACAGTTCTTAAGCAGCAGCAAACTCCCTTGTCAGGGTTTCATGCTGAGTTAACTACTCTTTTCCTCCTCAGGGTTTTAGAGAGTAATAATCCTGCATTCCCAGTAGGCAGTTTTGCTGTGTCAAACGCTGGTTGGACAACTCATTCTATTTCCCAAGGTAAAGATCTAACAGCACTGCTTTCCAACTGGCCTGAACACATCCCAAAATCACTGGCTCTTGGCACAATAGGAATGCCTGGGTAAGCAATTTATATTTATCATGGATACCAATACTGGCTAGACAGAGTTGGCAAGTACTAATAAATCACAAAATGTGATGCAGTAGATTCCATTGTATAATTCCTCTATGGTATATAGTCAAGTAATGGTTTGGACTTGAATAGTCCAGGTCTATGACCGTTTTTGGATGCAATAATAAATACTCACGACATATTAGCCACCATGGAGTACCTTATGACTAAGAAACTCACAGTGAGCTTCCTCAGTTTTCCTCAGTGAGTTTTTCTTTTAATTGCACGCACATTTAGTAGTAACAGCCAGATGCAACAATTCTTCATCTGGGCAATAGTGATTTCCCGAACGGTTCGCCGAACAGTTCGCCACGGATGGCGAACATACGCGCTGTTCGGTCCGCCCCTATGTCATCATTGAGTAAACTTTGACCCTGTACCTCACAGTCAGCAGACACATTCCAGCCAATCAGCAGCAGACCCTCCCTCCCAGACCCTCCCACCTCCTGGACAGCATCCATTTTACATTCATTGTGAAGCTGCATTCTTAGTGAGCTGTCCAGGAGGTTTGAGGGTCTGGGAGGGAGGGTCTGCTGCCGATTGGCTGGAATGTGTCTGCTGACTGTGAGGTACAGGGTCAAAGTTTACTCAATGATGATGAATAGGGGGCGGACCGAACAGCGCATATGTTCGCCGTCCGCAGCGAACCGTTCGGCGAACCTTTCGGTACATCACTACTGGGCAATGGTGAAAAGCCATGATCTACATTAACAAAATGCACCCAAGCTGAGCCCGAATAGGACTGAACTTTAACTAAATAATGATGTATCTAAAACTTGGCTTTTGCTAAAAATGTTGAATTTTAATATTAGTGGAGGCCTGAAGTTAATATTCAGCTCAATTCCCAACTTACATTTCCCTTTAATTTATTCCCAGAATCAAAGATTCAGTCATGGGGTGAACACAACTAATATGGGAGATGTAGCAAACTTTAGATTGTAATTCCCTTCTCTGCATCTAAGTTTAATGACTGCTATAGATATAGATACTGAGTTTAATGTGAACTGATGTAATTACTAAAATCACGTATTTCAGTTTAACTGCATACTTTGGCCTCCGAGAGATATGCTGTGCCAAAAAAGGAGAAATTGTTCTGGTCAATGGAGCTGCTGGAGCTGTTGGAACATTGGTTGGACAAATTGCAAAAATCATGGTGAGTACTATGTTTTTGCCATATGTATTGAAGTTTTTTTTTTTTTAATTATTGCAATTACATATTTTTTGTATATTTAAAAAAAACAAACAACAAATAACAAATTGATGAAGAATGTTCAAGTCTATTCCAGGCCATAGTACAATGATTAGCCACAACACTGACTGAGAGATGAAGTGAACAACATTGATTATATAATCACAATGGCAGCTGTCAAGGTTTGGGATAGAAATACTAAACACAATTAACAAGTAAAAAAGGCGTTAAGAATATTATAACCACAAAATGTATACTAAAAGTGTCTAAGTGAAAAGGGCGGCTAACCGAAGCAACTGTGTAGGATCACAGCGACTGAAGCTGAAGGCTGGAGGTGGTGTGGCACTTTAATTGCTGCTTGGATCGTTCTACTAGATCAAGCATGTGAAACTCAAAGTCTGGCATGGGCCACATAAACAAGGTTTAAGTTTATGTGGGCCAAAAAAAAACCTTGCATTTTCATAGAAACGTAGGTTTATTTTAAAAAGTACAGAATAAAAAACCCCACAGCACCCCCTCTACTAAATCCCAGCCCCCCCTCTACTAAACCACAGCACGCCCCTCTACCACCCTGTGCCAAATCTGATCCTCCCGCTGATACACACATATTCACTGACAGACAGAAACACACATATAGACACACTGACACACACACAGACAGACACACACATACTCACACACTGACACAGACAGACACACACACATACTGACACACACACAGACAGACACACACACACACACACACATACTAATAGACAGACACACAAACAGGAACACACACTCACTGACAGACAGATACACACAGACAGACAGACACACATACACACACACATACTCACAGACAGACACGCTAACAAACAGACACACACACTCACTGACAGACAGACAGACATACACTCACACACACTCACACTCACTGACACACATACTTGCTGACAGACAAACACACACACACACATTCACTGACAGACAGACACAGACAGACACACACATACTCACTGACAGCCAGACACACACTCACTATCAGACAGAGACACACACACATTGACAGACACTCACACACACACACACACACACTCACTGACAGACAGACAGACACACACACACACTCACAGATAGACACACACACATACTTGCTGACAGACACACTAACAGACACTCACACATACACATTCTTTTCTTTATGGCTCCTTACCTTTTGGAGCCGATGGGGGGCACCTCCCTGAGGTCCTTCCTGCTCCTCACTGCTCCCTTGCGCGGTTTAGTATGCTGGGCACGGAATATGACGTCATATTCCGGTGCCCGGCTTCACTATAGATGGCGCGAGGGAGCAGTGAGGAGCTGAAACACTGAGTTCCCTCGCTGCCACCAGAGACCTTTCCTCCGGCCGGGTATATGAGCAGAGTAGACACTGTGGGGGCAGCAGGTGCCTACTCTGCTTGGATCATTAGGCATGTACTTGCGGCTCGCTGGGCCGCAAAGATGGTCCTTGTGGGCTGCATGCGGCCCGCGGGCCACGAGTTTGACATGCTTGTACTAGATGGCTATGTAGAATTGTAACTATTGAAGCCAGATTAAAGGACCACTCAAGGCACCCAGACCACTTCAGCTTAATGAAGTGGTCTGGGTGCCAGGTCCCTCTAGGATTAACCCTTTTTTAAAAATAAACATAGCAGTTTCAGAGAAACTGCTATGTTTATAATAGGGTTAATCCAGCCTCCAAATCCTCTAGTGGCTGTCTCATTGACAGCCGCTAGAGGCGCTTGCGTGATTCTCACTGTGAAAATCACAGTGAGAACACGCAAACGTCCATAGGAAAGCATTATGAATGCTTTCCTATGAGACCGGCTGAATGCGCGCGCAGCTCTTGCCGCACGTGCGCATTCAGCCGAAATGGAGGATAGGAGGTGGAGAGGAGGAGGAGAGCTCCCCGCCCGGCGCTGAAATAAAGGTGAGTTTTAACCCTTTCCTCTCCCCAGAGCCGGGCAGGAGTGGGACCCTGAGGGTGGGGGCACCCTCAGGGCACTATAGTGCCAGGAAAACAAGTAGGTTTTTTCCTGGCACCATAGTGGTCCTTTAACATTGGCAACTATAAAATTGTATTCGCTGACAAAGTGGCTAATATACAATATATACAATTTGCTACTAACCATTGTAAGATGGACAGTAGTGAACCTAGGTTCTTTTAGGTGTAGTATACTGCAATATTAAGTTAATAGGAGGGATATGCAGAGTATTGAATCACACAAGGTACAAGTTGGAGATACACTCTCTCTCTCTATTGTTCCTTCGAGGGCACCCCTTTACCCACCAAACAAAAGATCACCCTATGTTAGTGAAGAGCAGACAACCCCATCCCAAAATAATAATAGAGAGTAATAAGTGCAGTATCCAAATATACATACAGTATCTCAAAGTAGCTAAGGGGTCAATGAAAAATCTAGACGGTAAATATTAACTCCTACGTTGCTGTACTAGGCTTCTGATATTCTTTGGTAGCCGACTGCAGTAGCAGTTATAACTCAGGGAACTCCAGATTACAGAAAATAAGCGTAGGTGAACATGGGTAAAATTATACTTGTCTAGTATTTTGTTTGAGTATCTGATATCAATAGTTTGCTACCAGTCACCCTAGCAGCGCAAGAATAATGGTATCTGTCTTAAATACTCTTAGAATGTCTGATAGCACTGTTTTAAGATTGCTTCTTATCTATGATATATCCCTAGTAACCCTGACGCGCGTTTCACAAATTAGGTCATCAGATCTAATTTGCGAAACGCCCATCAAGGTGACTAGGGATATATTATAGAGCTTTTGGTTGGTGGGTTAAGGGGTGCCCTCGAAGGCACAGTAGGGTGAGAGAGAGTATCTCCAACTTGTACCACGTGTGATTCAATACTCTGTATATCCCTCCTATTAACTTAGTATTGCAGTATACCACACCTAATAGAACTATTACGTTCACTACTATCCAACTCACAAACCTGGGCTCCACAACGGTTAGTAGAAAATGGTATATATTGTATATTAGCTACTTTGTCAGCGAATACAGATATATAGTTGCCAAAGTTAATGTTGCTGCAATAGTTAACATTCTACAAAGCCATCTAGTAGAACGATCCGAGCAGCAATCAACTTCTCTTCATACCCTTCCGCTTTGTCGTCAGTACCAATTAGTATAATATCCTCCTTACCATAATATCTGGGAACTCTGACGTATTAGTCTACACACTAAAGTACTCACTCTGCCTCCAATAATGCGGATGTCCATGCTGATCATTTCCAGTTTCTTCTGGAATGACATTTCTAGCTTCCACAGCATCAAGTCCTGTTTAGAAGATAGGTTGCGGAGGGCGTCTTTAATCTCTGTATCAGCTGTAAAGTGGGAGCCTTCTGAGCCGTCCAGGCTCGATGGTGCAGATCCATCCTGTGAGAACTCCGGCACCATATTGAGGCCTACTGCGCCCAGGGCCGGATTAAGAGCCCAGTGGGCCTGGTGCTGACAAATAAGAGGGGCCTAAGTACAGAGTCTTATCGACCAAAAACACTAAAACAGTCATACCTCTCAAGCGTTATGTATCTGGTGGAGATGTTGCCGGATGGAAACTCATAGGATGCAGCTATAAGAAAACTCAGTTTCTCTTAAAATATGCTAATCTCTCTCTAATTCATGCTTTCACCTTTCAAGTAAATCCATACCCCCTAACAGCAGTGTAGCAGGAAGTCAATGGGCAGTGTAAAAGGGTGGGCCACTGACGCGGATCATGTAACCGAACTTCCGAAAGGGACGAACATGTGCAAAAAGGAGGTGTGTCTGCCCAAAGAATTGGAAGGCTAGTCTGAAATGAATGCATGTCAAGCTACCCGCCAATCATGCATGCTGGCCAACAGCATCCTGAGCTTGGCATAAATGCGTCTAATGATGCGTTCGCTCCATGCTTTTTAAAGACGGTCCCCTAGCACTCACATATCCACTTGTCTCCTTACGTTCTTACTAGCAGGCAGAAGCTCCTAGTATACAGTCTGAGACAGAGAAAAGGTGCCACAGTCTTAGAGACCAAAGTCAGCATTACCTAACCTAATTTCATTTCAGCTAGTCCACACAAGTTTTGTTTCCATATATCCCTGTTACGTTTCCATACTTAAGCAATAGTATGTGAAGAGTAGTTAGGGTTGCCACCTTTCTTGGAAAAAAATAGAGGCCTTACTAATTTGCAAATTATGTATGCGTGACTTGATGTTACTCACACGGAATGACATAAGAGAAAATTCTGTAAAATCACCAAAAACTACTTTTTTTGGTGATTTCAGTTTGATTCTGATGTTTCGATGGATTGCTCCCAGTGTCCCCTATTGTCTGTGTCCCTATGTCTCCCAGTGTCCCCATGTCACTAGGGGACACTGTGAGACATGGGGACACTGGGAGACTTGGGGACACAGACTATGTATTACAGTGTCCCTATGTATTACAGTGTCTCAGTGACCTATGTTTCCCAGTGTCCCCATGTTGCCCAGTGTCTGTGTTACCATGTCTCCCAGTGTCGCATGTCACTAGGGAACACAAGGACATGGGGGCACTGGGAGACATGGGGACACTAGGGACACTGGGAGACATGGGGGCACAGACACCAGGGACACTGGCTGGGAGACATGGGGACACAGAAACCAGGGACACTGGCTGGGAGACATGGGGACACAGACACCAGGGACACTGGCTGGGAGACATGGGGACACAGACACCAGGGACACTGGGAGAAATGGGGACACTGAGACACCAGGGACACTGGCTGGGAGACATGGGGACACTGAGACACCAGGGACACTGGCTGGGAGACATGGGGACACTGAGACACCAAGGACACTGGCTGGGAGACATGGGGACACTGAGACACTTGGGGACATTGTGTCCCTAGTGTCTCAGTGTCCCCATGTCTCCCAGTGTCCCCAAGTGTCTCAGTGTCCCCATATGTGTCTGTTTACCCATGTCTCAGTGTCCTCAAGTGTCCCCATGTGTGTCTGTGTCATCATGTCTCAGTGTCCCCATGTGTGTCTGTCCCCGTGTCTCCAAGTGTCCCCAAGTGTCTTAGCATCCCCAGAGGTCTCCCTGTCTCCCTATGTCTCACAGTGTCCCCTATTGTCTCAGTGTCCCCATGTCTCCCTGCAGCCTCTACCCTATCCCTCATTTCCCTGAGCCGTAGGCTGTCTCTGCAGATTGGGAGCTGCTGTCTGGACTTTCTGTGCTGTGTAGCTGCTCCCCCCCGGATCAGTAGAGAGATGCAGGTAGATGCTTTAACTTCCTATCCCTACCTCTCTCCACACACACACACACACAGCGTGCCAGTATTGCAGAGTAATCTCTGTAATTTTTTACTAAGAAAAATACCGGCATTTGTATTGCCGATATTACTATTATATCAGCACAGGCCAGGCAGCCTCAAATAATTACTGGCTGGGTGGCAACCATAAGGGTAGTGTGTAAAAAAAAAAAGTAAAGAAAATATTTTTTACATTTTTTTTATAGCAATGGGCCTATTCCATGGGCCTGGGCCTGGAGCTGCAGCTCCATCAGCCCCTATGTTAATCCGGCCCTGACTGCGCCCGGAACGGAGTCCACATGATCTTGGAAAATTTTTGTTAATGCCCCCGATTTACCAACTGGGTGTTTGCCGGCATGACTCTGGTTCGAGAGGGAGCATTTAGAGTGTCCCATTTTAGCCGTGGATGCCCAATGTAGTCAGATTGTGTGCATATTAACACGGAGCACAATGCGGCCATTCAGCTCCGAGGTTGGCTCCACCCCTATTTCTTTCTATCTTATGCATTATGTCCCATTGAATGACTTTGGAAGAGGCATGCAGAGACTGAGAAATTCCACTATCTTAAATTAAAAGGTTTTTGGAGTAAGTTTATGTTTACTATTCTTCACTGTTTTGCACAATAGAAACTTTTGCATTTGTTATTAATATATTGCACTTTATAATTATTCTCTTTGCACAGTGCACTCTGTTATATGCACTTCTAGTGATTTTTTTAATATATCACTATTTTTAAAGTACCGACGCACCTTTTTTTCGATTGTGTAAGGTTTGGGATACATTAGGCATCAAATGAACAGTCAGTTCTTGAATTTCATGTGTTCAAAGCAGGAGAAATGGACAATCGAAAAGATCTGAGCATCTTTGACAACTGCCAAATAGTGATTGCTAGATGACTGGGTCAGAGCATCTCCACAATGGCTAGTTTTGTGGTGTGTTCCTGGTATGCAGTGACTAGTACTTATTAAAGGGGTGCAAGGAAGGACAACTGGTGAACTAGTACCAGGCAATGATGCATGTGGGGAGTGAAGGCTAGCCTGTCTGCTCCAATCACAAAAAATAGCTACTGTAGCTCACATTTATAAAAAATGTAATGTTGGCCATGATAGAAAGGAGTCAGAACACAGTGTATCACAGTTTGCTGTGTATGGTACTGCGTAGCCACAAACCAGTCAGAGTGCCCATGATGACCCCTGTCCACTGCCGAAAGAGCCTTTATTGGGAAAGTGAGCATCAGAATTGGACCATAGAGCAATGGATGAAGTTTGTGTGGTCTGGTGAATCACCCTTAGATCAGGTCGATTGCCATGTGTGTGTGCATCATTAACCTGGAGAAGAGAAACTTTCAGGACTTAAAGGACCTGCTGCCAATGTCCTGGTGCCAGAGACCACAGACACGTTCAGTGGCCTTGTGGATTCCATGACTCGACTTATCAGAGCTATTTTGGCAGCATTAGGGTGACCAAAACGATATTAGGCAGGTGGGTGTAATGTTGGGGCTGATCAGTATATATTTACTTAATAAGTAGCTAACAAAGTCACTTACCTTGTTACATAATTGAGGACATTTTCCCGAGTGACATTTTCTTCAAACATGAGAGTGAAGTGTATGATTTTGGCCCCAAATAAATACCAGCTTAAAGTGTGTTTTCAATATATTTAAACTCTTTAAACTATGAATCTCCTATCCAAATTATCGTCATTGCTCACAATAGTGCCACTTGTAAAAATTCTAAATATAAAAGTTTCCAAAAATGTATTGTGTAGTACTATTAACAAGCATCTCGTCATATTTGCAAACACCTCCACCTTTATATGCCAGTATACACTGCATTTCCACAATATGAAGATAAGTGCACTAAATACAATGATGCCCAGGTGCATCCTGCCTCCTCCACCAGTCTTTGCCAAACTGCTGTGGGAAAGAGCTCAGCATTTCGAGAAACTCCGAACTTTGTTTCTAAAGAGCAAGAGGGGTCTCAATTATGCAGTGGGCTGCATGAAACTTGTTCAGGGGCTAGAAGTGACGGCTAGTTTGAGACCCTTGCATTACAACGATCTCCCCAGATAAAATGTGTGGTTGACTAGTGGCATAATTTACACTTTCCAGGACACAAATTCAGAAAAAAACAAAACTTTATATGCTCTTTGATTTTTCATCTCTTTATGTTTTCTTTATTCTTATTATGTTAATTTTTAACCAGCAATGCTTGAACAACTACGTGGTGGAAATAGGGACACTGAGGTATCCTTTTCATTATACTCTTTTATAACCTGCAACTATTTTACATTTCATTTTGTTTTGTATCATCTCTTCCTTCACAGTCTTTCCTTTCTTAAATTCTTTATATTTTTCACACATTTCTTTTTCTTTAGTTGTATCATTAAATATGTTAGTTTTTCATTTATTCTCTTTTCTAAATGTTCAAGAATTGCTGGTGTCCCTAGCTCTTTGTTCACCCCCAAATATGGATAGTGAGGGAATCTTTTGTTTCTTTCCTCTCTCTGGCCCTTTTTAAAAAAAAATTAGTAAAATTTTTTTTTGTCTATCTGTTATGTTTCTTTTTTGTTTGTCTTTTGTTTATTCTCTATGTTTTTCTACAAGTTCTTTTTCCTTTCCTTTCACAAAGTTTCTATACTTATACTTGACATATCTTAATTGCATTCCTTTATGTGTCTATGTTGTGAATATATATTCAATTTTAATATACATGTAAGTGGTTACGATCAGTTTTCAGTCTGGTGGGTCTTTTCTGGTCCTTTTTTTTTTTTTTGCTCTTTTTAAGAAATAAGAATAGTTTTAAAGATTTGTTCCATGAATGTGAGATGCATAATTACGCCGCACAGGAGGTGGTTGCTATTTAGGGAGACAAAGAAAAATGAAATTTTATTTATTCAAGAGTACCATTTCAAGCTAAATAATACCCAAAGGTTTTAGTAAAAGATCATCCCATTCAGTCTCATTCTACATTTTGCACCAAGGCTAGAGGTGTCTCAATTTTTATTCATAAAAATGTAGAATGTCACACACTATTGACATTTTGGTTGATCAAGAGGGTAGATATGAGATTTGGAAAGGCCTATTAAATAGTGTGGAATACACTCTGGCAAACGTCTATTTTCCTAATTCTAATCAATTTCAGTTTTTGAAATACATTGTTACTAAAGTGTCCAAGAATGTCGAGTGGAGACACTCATTTCGTGTTAGACCACAATATTGATATAGTTAGAGAGAATCTAACTGCGCTGTTTAAAATTATTGTACTGAAAAATTGGCGAATCTTTGTTCCAAATTTTGCTTTTCACAAGGCCTATTTGATTGTTAGCGCATTCTACATGAAGGAGAGAGAGACTACACCTTCCATTCACCTATCTACTATATGTATTCTCGGATTGACAGATTCTTGATGGGAGAAAATGTTATTCCTCTTATTTACGTTTGGACATCTTGGATGTTAATTGGTCTGAAGGTACCCTCATAGTGTTATTTCTAGAAGAATCCTTCTAATCAAACCTAGATAGGCAATGGAGATTAAGTGACTATTTAGTCACTGATCTTGAAAATAAGTCAGAATTGATACGCAAATCAGTTGACATTGAGGGTATTTTTGTAAGGGATAAAGAACATAAAGTTTGTCTATTTGCAGATGACATCATACTTTCTTTAAAAAAATCCCTTGACCTCACTACCTCCATTGATGACTGTTCTGCAAGAATTTGTCAATATCTCATATTATTAATTAAATACAGCAAAAACTAAAGCTCTTCAATTCTTTATACCATGGTTTGATTTAGATACCATGAAGAAAATGTATGATTTCGATTGGAGGGATTCATATATTTCTTATATGGGCATAAACCTGTGCAAGAATCTGTCCAAGATGCATAGATGTAATTTCGAAAAGGTCTGGTCCGAACTTAGGAAAAACATTGAAAGATGGTGTGGTCTCGAAATTTCTTGATTAGGTAGAATTAATTCGGTCAAAATGACTCTCCTGCCCAAAATTTTATACATACTTAGGACTATTCCCCTCCCTATACCTCTAACCACTCTGCACCTGTTTCATTTATTTGGAACAAAAAAACCTACTAGGATTAAACTACCCATGTTACAAAAAACAAGGATTGGGGAGGGGTGGGGTTTGCCAGTTTTTATCTATTGCTATTACTCTACTAATGCAGCTATGGCTTTTCAATTTAATTTCGATTATGCCAGGCCCCAATGGCTTGAAATGGAGGCGAGTAAAATTTTACTTCATTTCATTAAAGATTTATTGTGGTTGCCTTCATCTCAACGTCTTAAGGCGGCAGACTTGTTTCCCTCCACTAAATTAACCCTTAAAATGTGGTATCTTTTATTCAAAAAAATTCAACTACCTGCCATATGGTCTAGGGCTACACCATTATTAGCAAAAGGTTATGCTTTACAGGAATTGGATGTAGATTACTGGGTCTCTCATTTGCTTGTCCATTTTGATGATTTATTTTTGTTCCAATAGCCTTCTGCCTTTTGATCAACTAAAAGAAAAATGTAAATTAAGTTTAATTGATGCCCAAACATATGAGAGACTTGTGACAACAATTAGTGAACATTTCGCTCTTTCCGATCATGATCCGAACTTGTTGAAATTAGATATGACAAAACTAGAAAAAATTTATTTAATGGACCCTGGTCGGAAACAAAGCATCTCCATGCGTTATAATATTTTTGCAGGTGACATGTGTGATTAATTGAACTACATGTTGAAGTGGGAGGGTGAACTGGGTGGGATATACACAGTAGAGGAATGGAATAATTTCTTATTATCATTAAAAGGTATCACTTAATGCACAAATCATTTGGAATCCCACTACAAATTAATATATAGATGGTACCTAACCCATTCCAAACTTTTAACTTAAATCTTAAAACAATAAATGTTGTAGAAACTGCGGTCATACTGGTACATTGTTCCACATCTTTTCGTGTCCCAAAATCAAATCTTATTGGCTGAAAATTCTCAAATTAATTAATCAAATATTAGAATTTGATGTAGTTTTATCCCTGTGTCTTTGTCTCTTTAAGCCAATTCCTCTAATCTGTCTAGATATAAACAAATTATACAAGGCCATCTTTTAATCTCAGCAAATTCCATCATCTCTCGACTCTGGAAATCACCCACTATACCAATTGTGGGTCAAGTCTTTTCTGTAGTATTTGAAAATAAAAGATGTTAATTAGCTTTCCATGAACCATCTACTTTCACATCTATACTGCAGCATGAATGGTCCATTTTTATGTGTATTTTACTTATTTATCTGTTTTTTTTACAACAGTTCATTCATTATTGTATTTATGTCATTTTTATATTATCTGTTATATTATTTAAAAAAAAATTAATAAATATTTTAGATGGAAAAAAAACTATAATATTGCTCTGAATGTTAATTTCAGATTCAGAAAATTTTAAGTTATGTAGTAATACATTAAAATGTAAGTTAATAAATCACATAACTGATAGATCTACTAAATAAAAACCATAAAAGAAAACAACATCAGACACAAAATAAATGTAATATATTTGACACTTTAGATTTATTTAACTGCATTAAATTAATGTTTTAATAATTGTACATTTCCAAGTAGTGAGATAATGTGATTACCATGGAATCTTGTTCCTGGGGTCATATTCAGTAATGAACAATACTTATCAAAGGAACACTGTACAGTTAAATATAAATATATTTATTTCATGGTCTGTTTTAAAATAAAAAAATAAAAAAATGTTATAAAACGTGCCTTTATTACAGTGCCAAGACAGACTCCTCTATGCAGCCACTTCCTCTTTCACAAAGTCATCAGGATTGACTGGTCAAGAAGAACTGTGGACATGCAGTGCATGAGCAGGAAGTGACATGCTCTGTCAGTCAAATACATCATGCTGTGTGTGATTATGCTGGAGTAAAGACCTTACATTTTCAAAGGTCTGAAGGAGGAAGTGATTCTATTTGTTTTCAGTTTAACAGCCACTAGAGGCGTGTACACTGACAAGTGTAAACATTGCCATTTCTTTGAATTGGCAATGTTTACATTTATCTGTGAAAAATTGTATCATTTTGGGATTAAAACCACTATGTTAATATGTGGTGTTTTTGGTGCTTAGAGTGTCTCTTTAATCAAAAACAGAGTACCACAGTGATGGCTAACACTTGACACCATAAATTGCTTCTGGACTACATTTCCCATGATGCTCAGCTAGCTTTTAAACTGTAAAAGCTAGCTGGGCATCATGGGGAATGTAGTCCAAAAACAATTTATGGTGTCAAGGTTAGCCATCACTAGAGTACCATCTCTATCTTCAGTGTAATCACTTTCCCTGCCTCGGCATGTTCTTCTGTGATGATACCATTTAGAGCTGGGATTATTGAGCTTGTATGTGCATTTACTATAATAGTATATATGTGCTGTAGTGTGGTAGCATTGTACTGTCATAATATGAATACACTTTGTATTCTCATCCAGGGCTGTAAAGTGGTTGGATCTGCTGGCTCAGATGATAAAGTGAAATATCTAAAGAACATTGGTTTTGATGAGGCCTTTAACTACAAAACTGTGCGCTCACTGGAGGAAGCATTGAAAAAAGCATCTCCGGATGGCTACGATTGCTTCTTTGAGAATGTGAGTCACATGTTATGCGTTAATAGTGTTAGGTAAAAATTTGCAAGCCTTACTATTCAACAACCCTCTTTACTTTTAATGGGGTGTGTATAGTTTTTTTCTACCTTGAATGCAGGGTTATTAAGAGCTATAAATGCATAATAAGCAGTACAACTTGCACTAACATGTCGTACTGTACAAGTCGGAGAAAGCTAAACAGTTTTCCTCAAATGTCACTTTTCGCTACTAGCACATTTTACATCACCATGCTGAGCTCATTTTTAAGGCTCTGCGTTCATTGTGTTATTAACACCATAATCCATGTTTCTTTTCTGTGAGTAACCCTCCCATATTAGAGATTCTTTTTTTCAGCAGCTCATGCACTTAGTAAATAACTTCAATCTGCAAAAAAAAATACAGGATTGGAAGCAGCCAACTTAAAATATGGTAAACAACAGAACATTAGTTCAGTTCCCAAACAGTGAAATTTAGGATTCTATACCTATACTTTTCAATACAAATTAGCAATTGAAAATTAAAAGATAAAAGGGACGGTTTATAAAGGTAAATCAGGTGTTAATCTAGGCCAGGAATAGGCAACCTTTTAGCAGCACTGTGCCGAAATAGGATTGTTATGTCCCGTAGCGTGCCGGTCTTATTTTTTTTAATTAAGGTATGTATGTTGCCATATTCTGCTTGTGTTATTTATACTGTAATTGCTTTGTATCTTTGTATCTGTGCGTATGTGGGCGGTTATATTGAATATGTTAATGAGTCATTTGTGGTATCGTGTATGATACCTAGGACTGTGTATGGGGGCTACTTATGGAATTGTGTGTGTGTGTTTTTTCATTCATATCTCCAGAACTCCAAAATGGCATTATTTTACCTAATAACTCAATCATACACTCAATTACTCAAAATATCTTTCAAGGTTTTTCATTCTGACAGTCTGGTCTATCTATCTATCTATCTATCTCCTTTATTTTAATACTGGGCTACTCAAGTTACAGGTTTACTGACATTGAGACAAAAAAATAAGAGTTTTTAATAACTTTTTAAATTTCTTTATACTGTATGTGTGCAGGTTGGGGGAGAATTTGCAGATGTGGCTTTAAGACAGATGAGAAAATATGGAAGAATTGCAGTCTGTGGTGCTATTGCCCTCTATAATGATACAGTCCCTAAAAAAGGTATTATTTCTATTTCCTCAAATTTCCAAATTTTTCCTCAGAGTATATTCTTTTCTTAATACTTATTATTAAGTGTTGCCATATCTCTCTTCTATTGATGGAGACAGAGCAGCAGACACTCAGTATTGGTTTTACCATTGTTGTGCCTGTGTGGGTATGGGAGAGCCTGTGTCATTGATTCAAGTGCGAGACTGGTTAGGTTACTGCTGTGCCTAGCCACTGATAAGTAAGACGGTGACACCAACTTTAAGTGAGAGATGGATAACCTATTTCCTTTTTAACTGATCCAAGTGTGAGACAGTTTAGGTTACTGCTGTATCTAGTGTGCATTCATAGAGGCATCCACCCTTTGTTCAATGGCATTAAAATTACGTGCAAAATCAGATGGACTTGAAGATGGTGGAGAAAATGCAGGAGGTGAGTGAACACTTGTTGCCCAAGATACGTATACTAACAGTCGAGTAGCTTCTGGGCCAGAAGTAGAACTGCTTTGTCTGCAGTTGTGAGGAAAACAGAATTATAATCACTGAGTTCATCACCACCACCTCCACCACAATGAACACCAGATATTGGTGACACTACTTTGGTAATCTGCACTAATTCCTCACTAAATAGTGACTCTGATGATCCAAACAAACTAGATTATACTGTAGACTGGAAGGTGAAGTAACCTATCTAGAATAGGTGGGATACAACCCCACTAAGATTACCTCAACTATAAATTATTCAAGGAAATGGCTAACAAAAAATAATAAACAACTTTATTTTACAAATATACATGGAAACGTACAAATCTATATGAGACGAAGTACCCTTCGCCACTTGTGCCTGGAGGGGACTACTGGTTAGCCTCCTGCCTTCCGACTATGGCCCCTGTGCTGATAGCTGTATTTTACCCTGCAGAAAGGTTTATTTGTGTATTTCTTCCGGGGCGTTCGGGACTTTCAGTATGTGGGCAGTGCTACCCCAGATAGCTATGCCATGGACCCTATTCGTGTAACGAAAGACTATGGAAAAGACTTTGGCTCCATTGCGATTGAACTGTATGTATGTGATCTGAGCACCATTCAGTAATAATGTATGCTCAAATCTAAGCTATCTGGGGACATGTTGCATGTATATGTTTTATGTAGTAATTGTAACATTCTGTAATTTTCTGTCTTTTTGTAACCATGTGGTTAATGGAGTCTTGCCTCTGTCCTGTGAGATAATTTGATTACTTCCCAATTATCTCCAGGATAGAGAGAAGGGATTGTGATGTCACTGTGGGAGTGTTTTGTTTGTATTGTCTGTGATTGACTAATATCCAATATGTGTCCCATTGTTCCATCAGGTCCCCTAGAGGAGTGTCCACCTGGTGGACACTTGCATAAATACCGGGCAGGTAGCCCTCAATAAACTAGACCTGCTTGCACCTTTCTTGAAGCCTTGGCTCATGCTTGGGGGGAGGGATACCTACACTCTGGGGATTGATATAATCACTTACTCCCCAGAGTAAGCTCTTGTAAGAGCTTGATTTGTTCCTGCTACGCTCTCTGGATTAAGGAGAGGTTCACACACTGGGAGCTGGATCCTGGTCGTGGATCCAGGGTGGGTGAGAGACGGCGAGACCCCGGCGCAGCTGCATCACTGGAAGTGGGGTCCGCAGTGCTGATGGTGTTGGTTGGAGTGCTCGGAGTCCTCAGCAAGCGCCAGGAGCATCGATTGGCGGAGATAGAACGTGTGAAGAGCCATTTAGGCTGATGCACCTTTTTTACTTTTAGGCAGCCTATGCTAGATTGACTGAATAACTCCTAAATTGTGTTATTGGATGAAGGGTAAACTCAAAAGTGCCCCACAAAATAAGAAAAGTGCAGTTTAAAAGTAAAAAAGGTGCATCAGCCCAAATGGTGCTTCACACGTTCTATCGTTTTTAACCCCTTTAGACCGGAGGGCATACTATTATGCCCTATTATAGGCGGCTCTAAACGCCGCCGGGCGTAATAGTACGCCCTCCGGTCTTTCGGTACTTACCCGGTCGCCAGCGGTCCCCCAGGGAGCCCCCGCGGCACGTCTGTCCTCCACGAAGCCCCCCGGCCGTGTGAGAGTGGGGTCCTTGCGAGGACCCCACAATCACATGGCCGGGGATAGCTGGCTTCTGTATTGCCAGCAGGGGGGCTGCCTGTAATGACAGGTGGTCCCCCTGCTGGCTGAAAATAAAATTAAAATGAGTTAAAAGTGTAAAAATAATAATAATATATACTTAGATCATATATATATATTATATATATATGATTTAAGTATATATATACACATATACATACACACATGTACACCGTCTAGGTGTATTTTACTATTAATATATATATAATTATATATATATATTAATATCAAAATACACGTAGACTGATACTGATTAAATATATATATATAATTATTGTTATATATATATTTATATATAATATAAAAAAAATAAAAATGTAAATACGTTAAAAAATAAAATTAAAAAAATAATTAAAAATAAATAATTAAAAAATATTTAGATGTGTGTTATTTCGTTCTAACTGTATTGTGAAATTATATATATATATATATATATATCAAAATACACGTAGAACGAAATAATATATATATCTATATACATAAATATATACGTATATATCACTATATATATACCTATATATAAATAAAAATATTTTTTAAAAATTATATAGATATAAACATATATTAATTCTACATATATATTTATGTAATATTTTTACATAATTAGGTATCTTAATTAATTACAATTAGCAGGACCTGCCTGACAACCCATGCCGAAAGTAAAGGGAATTTAATTTGCTAGCACTATATTTAACCCTATAACTTTCCGAGACACCATAAAACCTGTACATGGGGGGTACTGTTCTACTCGGGAGACTTCGCTGAACACAAATATTAGTGTTTCAAAACAGTAAAATGTATTACAACAATGATATCGCCAGTAAAAGTGACGTTTTTTGCATTTTTCACGCACAAACAGCATTACACGGACGATATTATTGCTGTGATACTTTTTACTGTTTTGAAACACAAATATTTGTGTTCAGCGAAGTCTCCCGAGTACAACAGTACCCCTCATGTACAGGTTTTATGGTGTTTTCAAAAGTTACAGCGTCAAATATAAGGCTTGCGTTTCATTTTTTTCACATTAAAATTCGCCAGATTGGTTACGTTGCCTTTGAGACCCTATGGTAGCCCAAGAATGAAAATTACCCCTATGATGGCATACCATTTGCAATAGTAGACAACCCAAGGTATTGCAAACAGGGTATGTCCAGTCTTTTTTAGTAGCCACTTAGTCACAAACACTGGCCAAAATTGGCGTTTTTTGCATTTTTCACACACAAACAAATACTAACGCTAACTTTGGCCAGTGTTTGTGACCAAATGGCTACTAAAAAAGACTGGACACACCCCATTTGCAATACCTTGGGTTGTCTACTATTGCAAATGGTATGCCATTATGGGTGTAAATTTCATTCCTGGCTACTATAAAGTCCCAAAGGCAACGTAACCAATCTGGCGAATTTCAATTTCAAATGTAACGTGCTATATTTGACCCTGTAACTTCCCAAAACGCCATAAAACCTGTACATAGGGGGTACTGTCTTACACGTGAGACTTTACTAAATACAAATATGTGTATTTTATTGCAGTAAAAGCAAACAGTATTATGACACTGACCTTTAAAATGTCATTTAGAACTAAAAAAAAAAAAAAAAATCGTATTTTCTCCCATTTTTTTCATATTAAATTATGTTTCATAGCTAAATATTTGATATTAAATGAAAGCCCTGTTTCCCTTGAATAAAATGATATATAATAAGGGTGGGTGCATTTACTATGAAAGAGGTGAATTACGGTTGGACAGACATGTAGCGCAAATGCCAGGTTTTGTTTACATTTTGTTTTGTTCACAACGTGTACATTTGGCTCCGTCCTTAAGGGGTTAATATATAGAGATTTGTACGTTTCCATGTATATTTGTAAATAAAGTTGTTTATTATTTTTTGAGGTAATATTAGTGGGGTTGTATCCTACCTATTCTAGTCAGGTTACTTCCCTTCCTGTCTATTTATTTATCTCAACTGGGTTAAGCCCATTATTACCTCAAGGACCCACTCTCTGATTACGGATCGGATTTACTCTGTTTTTAGTTTCAGAATCTTTTTCTTAGATTATGCTCTACTCTTATTTTGTTGCTTCTTGGGTAGATATAACGCTTGAGCAGTGGTAGAAGGAGCTGCAGTGCCAATGGAAGTTGCTGATACATGAAAAGAATGGGGGGAGGAGGGAGGAACAATTGCTTCCTAGGTGTTAAATTGGATTTAGTGGACATTCTGTGAATCTCTCTATCCTGAGGCAAAGAACTACTAATAGTGATGGTGGCAGAAGTGGTGGTGGTGGTGGTGGTGGTGGACTAAACACAGTTCTTTTTCCAAACAGTTAGCAAATATATATATTAACAACTGTATTATTATTACTAACCTAGTCTCACACTAAGACGAATAACTAAAGAAGCCTATCTTCTATCTCCCACTCAAACTTGTTTCAAACACCTCTGTCAGCAGCTGCTAGCTATAATTAATCAGTGACCTTGACTAGGAAAGAGGAACTTTTGTTTCCTTTGTTACTGAACAGAACACCACTCTGCCCAAAATAAGGATTTTACTTCCTCTAAACTGTTAACAAACAAAACCCCCAAAACAAAACCTAGTAACAATTGTTTATTGCTAACCTAGTCTCACACTAGGAGCAGTGACAAAATGCCTACCAATCTCCTATCTTCTACTCAAATGTATTTCAGTGACCCTGGCAGTATCTGATAGCTAGATACAGCTGCAACTTAAAGGGACACTATAGTCACCAGAACAACTACAGCTAATTACATTTGTTCTGGTGAGTAGAATCACTACCTTTAGGCTTTTTGGTGTAAACACTGTGTTTGCGTTACAGCCTAGTGATAACTACACTGGCCACTCCTTAGATGGCTGTTAGAGATCCTTCCTGGGTCATGGCTGCCTAAAAAGCATCTAAACATTCTCCTCCCTCTGCATGCAGACATTGAACTTTTCTCATTGATTCAATTAATCTATATGAGGAGATGCTGATTGGCCAGGGCTGTGTTTGAATCATGCTGGCTCTGCCCCTGATCTGCCTCTTTGTCAGTCTCAGCCAATCCTATGGGAAAGCACTGTGATTGGATCAGGCTACCACTTCTGGCTTGACAACAGTAAGAGTTTTACTATATTTATGAAAGCATGAGGGGGCCAGGCTGGCTAGATGGTGGTTTTAACACTATAGGGTCAGGAATACATGTTTGTGTTCCTGACCCTATAGTGATCCTTTAAGCCTGATAATGACAAAATATCTGCCAATGTCATGTCTCCCACTTAAAGTTGTTTCCAGTGATCCTGGCAGTAACTGCTAGCTAGATATTGAATACAGCTAAACTTGATCTCACTCTAGAATCAATTACACACGCTATCTCCCACTCCCACACAGGTACAGGAAATAGACAGAATCACTGCTGGTTTTTCTCACTTAGTAGCTCAAGTCAAAATGTCTACAAGAATCCTGCTTGATAGTATAGTTGTTTTATTAGTCCTCTTTTTTCAACTTTATTGGTCACCATAGAGACTATCTGATTGGTGCAGAGTGGTGGTTTGCTGTACCTGGGCAGTAACCTCCCAATGCTTTCCTGTGGGAAAGCTTTGGATTGGCTGAGATCATTGTTCTTGATAATCTCAGCAAAAGAGGTGGAGCTTCAGCAAAAGAGATCGTTCGGTAACCTAAACGTGACTAGGGCACTGTCACATCAGGAAAACATATTTGTATTCCTAACACAATAGTGTTATATTAACAGCAAACCTGATTATATCATGTCCACAGAAGAGTGTGGATAAACAGTAAAATGATGTGGCACTTTGAAATAAACATAATGCTATAAAATTAAAGTGAATAAAAACAGATGCATCTTCCACAGGAGAGTATGTCCACCTCCCTTTAATATTTCAAGAACTTCGCATGGAAGGATTTACAGTACAGCGTTGGCTGAGCAGATATAATGAAGGCTTGGAGAAACTCATGCAATGGGTTGTAGAGGTATATTTTTGCACTTATATTAATTCTTTTTTTTAAGTTCATATGTGTCCAATATTTCTTGTATCAATGTACTCCAAGCAAAATGGTCCCATTGAAATTTTGATTTCAGATTAAAAAGGAACATAAATGTAGTACTTAGTTTATTTTTTAAAGAGTTTATTGTCAGGAATACAAAGTAAAACAAAAGTGCATTTTCAGTTTCAGGTCAAAATAGCTGAATTAGAAAAATCTCCAAGTCAACTATGTCTTCCCTTTGGCTATTCACATTATAATTTGATATTCACATTGCTTTCCTAACAACTCACACTTTTATAAATAATTCTGGAATTCTACTTCTGCTATAACTTAAATTAAATAACCTTTTACTTTTTTATTTTTACACAGGGAAAGTTAAAGTATAATGAGCACATCACCAGAGGATTTGACAACATGCCCTCTGCTTTTCTTGGGATGCTTAAAGGAGAAAACATCGGGAAAGCCATCATAACTGCAAAATAGATATTTCATATACATTATTCATGTTTTGCATCACATGCTGAGTTTTGTGAAAACATTTTGTGAAAATATAATTTTGAAAATATATTGTTTTGTATCCCACTTGTCAATAATGATTCTAGTAATAGATATACACAAATATTATCAATTATAGCAGCACATTTTATCTACCTCCGTGCACAGACTGGCTATAGACAGCACTGGTCAAATGTTTGATGTAGTTTAAGTTGCTCTTTAAATGGATTTCAGGATACAGATTCACTTTTTCTCACCAACATGGAGGATCCAAACTGAATGCTGCAGGACCCACAACTCACTCTTCTTTTCATTTTCCTCATTCTGTGTTTGCAATACATGGAGAATCTCATGGCTTGCACATAGCACAGACTCCAGTATCGGGCCAGTATACATCTTCCCTTTATAGGTGTACTATAGGACCTCAGACAACCTTATCTAATTGAAGGGGTCTGGGTGCAGTGTCCCTGTCTCCTTAACCATGCAAATTAAAACATTGCAGTTTCACTGAAACTGCAATCTTTACACCGCAGGATTAAGATAATCTTTAGTGGATGTCTTCCAGAGCCACAAGAGGCCTTCCAAAATAATGCTGAATGTTCTCACACTGTGCATGAGGACATTCAATGTCCACATAGTAAAGCATTGACTCTCATGAGAATTATATCCTCCACAGAAGAAGGAAATAGAGCCAGCACCGAGGTATCTCAGCACTGGAATTAACACAAGTTAAAACAGTCTTTTTTTTAATACTGTATACAGGTGGAAGACACCTAATAAGTTAGAGACAGGGGCTTACTATAGCTTTAGGAAAAAAAATTTGTATTTGTAACACTATAGTGTTCCTTTAATGACAAAAAGTCATGGGAAATCAGGAGAACACCAAAGTAGAGGTATAAACTGGGAGTTAATAACTAATAGTGTAATAAGAATTTCTTTGTGTGTGTCTAACAAAATATCTGATTCATAATATCAGATCAAATAACTACCAAACTGAATACATTTTTGGAATAATTTTAGTTGTGGAGGCCTAATCTATCCTCAGCCTCCTTACAAAAAAGATCATTACCCTGGATTTAGTAACAAAATAACTGGCTGATCTAATTACAATCTACCATAGTCAATCCTAATTTTTAAGTTTTAGTTGAGAGGGACTATCTTGTCCCCATTACAATTATTGTGAATAAGACATCTTATTAAAATGTGTTATGCTAAAGTAATTAGACATAGGTAATCTGGTGCAAGTAAGAGGTCTGGCTTGTAAAACGTGTCGTTCAAAGATCAGCTTAATGTCCGATACCTTTATGGATTTAAGAGGGGCTGGTATAGAGCATGATATGAGTATGGCGTGTGTTTAAGTGTAAGTGTCACCAGTCAATTGGTGGTTACTGTTTTCAGTGTTAGTGAACTTGGGATTTAATGCAATTGTTGTCCTGCCAGCCTTAGTGTCGCCCAGGTCAGGGTCACATGTGGCAGTGTCTCAGCCGAAGTGGAAGTGGAGACTAAGATCCTAGATTGAAGGGTATGTGGTGCTATTGTATGTAGATATAGGTATAACTCTGTATTGCTCCCTCTATGGACATATGTTCAAATAGGTGATATTTATTAGCTTTGTCAAGTAGTTGAGCTTTAGACGTATAAACAATAGTGGTCTTCCAGTGGAGCACTATTAGGTTTCTGGCTGCTAGTAAAATTATCATAGCTATTTGTTTAGATTTCTGTTGTAGTAGCAGGGAAGAGGAGAAACAAACTCATGGACGGGTTAATAGGTGTATCTATTGTCTATAGTGACAGGAAGAGGTTGTTATCTGGTGTTTGGTGGGAATGTCTGATTCTCTCGCATTCCCACCAAACATGCATCATAGTGCTCTCTTCCGTACCGCATCTCCAGCAAAATGCTGGGACTCTGGGGTAAACCAGTTGGCTAAGTGTTACATACTGTATATAAGTTTCTTATGTGCTTCAATATAAAAATAGCAGGTTGTAATACCTTTGAGGGCATTAATAAAGAGAAACCCATGGGGATTGTTTGTATTAAGATGCCCATTGTTTTGTAAATGTGAGTGGAGCAGTGGAGATGGGATGTATTAAAGAATGATGGCATGTGGAGAGAGCTTTGGGTTTTCCTGGTGCCTTCCAGCATCTGGTATGTACTTGTGTAATGGTGTTAGCACAGGTATGAAATATTTCAGAGGGTTTATATACATGAGTGGAGAGAATGCTTTGTAGTTGTAAAAATGTAAAAATGAAGGCGTTTGGTAGGTGGAATTTTTGTTGTAGCTCTGAAAAGGGGAGGGGAGCAATTTGCCTTGTTGGTACTTACCTCCTATCGAGGTGACCCCCGATTTGGTACATTGCTGCATATTTAGCTGTTGCGATACAGACTTTAACGCTGTTATAGGTGCCTTTGGGTGGAATTTGAGTTGGATTCCATTATTTGATTGAAATTGGTCCTGAAGTTGTGGGTGCAGCGGAGTTCTGAATAACATGTGGGGAGTTCTACCGGTTAAGTCTTGAGTTTTGGATTGATCTAATAGACTTGATCATACTCTTGCAGTAAGGACATTAAAGGACCACTATAGGGACCCAGACCACTTCAACTTAATGAAGTGGTCTGGGTGCCAGGTCCATCTAGGTTTAACCCTGCCTGCTGTAAACATAGCAGTTTCAGAGAAATTGCTATGTTTACATATGGGTTAATCCAGCCTCTAGTGGCTGTCTCATTGACAACCGCTAGAGGCCCTTCCGCACTTCTCACTGTGATTTTCACAGTGAGAAGACGCTTGCATCCATAGGAAAGCATTGAAAAATGCTTTCCTATGGACTGACTGAATGCAAGCGCGGCTCTTGCAACGCATGCGCATTCGGCGGAAGAGGGAGGAGAGTCCCCAGCGCCGAGGGAGCCTGGCGCTGGAGAAAGGTAGGATTTTAACCCCTTCCTCCCCCTTCAGCCCGGCGGGAGGGGGGCCATGAGGGTGGGGGGGGGACCTATTAATACTATAGTGCCAGGAAAACAAGTATGTTTTCCTGGCACTATAGTGGTCCTTTAATAGTGTCAATGAGCAGACAGGCTTGCTGAGGATCACCAAAATAAGATAAGAAAATCTTATCTTAAGTTTCTCTATGTCACTAATTTAAAGTGACCAATGGGATTGGGTGGGTGTACCTTCTTCTACTGATTGTAGATTGAGTTATAGCATCACAATAATTTCTCATTACAGATTTCAACTACCACTTTGTATAAGGGGTTAATTGAATTTCGTGATGCAAATGACATCACAAAAGTCTCATCTCTATGACCCATCAAATAAGCTAACTGTCAAACTTCACAAGATTTTGCTAGACTTACAGTATCATTTTTGGGCTAGAAAGCAACTTTTTGACACATTTAGACTTTGGTTCAACTCTCTCTTATAATGGGTTTTTGTAGGGGTGTTAAAATTGCAAATGGCATTTTTGTGGCTCCTTTGGAGCACTTTTAGACCACGCTTCCCATTACTTTATATTTAAAGCTAGAGTAGATAAACTGGAAGCATAGTTAACATATATACATTTTCCAGTTCAGCTATTTTAACCTTAAATGTGAAATTCACTTTGAATTCTCACTTTAGTGAATAACCCTGTTGATCTATCTTGATCTAATAGAAACTTTTCATGCCAAATATTTATTTGACTGATTTTGTATATGGGGCAGCCCCCTCACAAAATAGGTAATATTTTGGGAACTAAAAACTGAGCAAAAAAGCTGATAAAAACTGATAATGATTAGCTACCAAATTTAATATAATTTATCAATATTTTAATGAGAGGAGCTATTGACAGGCTAGCTCCCCCTCAAACAAATTGCTAATACCTCCTGTTGCTTGCTAAATTTACTAAAAAAAACACTTTATCATACGTGATCTAACAGAGATCTAAGCAGGTGAATGATTTTTTAATTAATTTTTAAATTAGGGGCTGGCTAATGGGTTTGAGGAGATTTATTTACTATGAATCTTTATGATACATGTGTACACTCTATGTTACTGTGTTGCAGTCATACCCACCACAAGTGTTATTGTGTCACTAGTGTAATTCTGTGCTGCAGTGTCTAAATACTGTGTACAGAGGAGAAAGGGGAAGGAAAACTTTCAATACACCAATGACGTTAACTACACCATTGTATATTATTTTATGAGACTGGACAATACTTCAGTATAAGAAGCTTTCAACACTACTTGCTATGCTATGTAGCTGGGAGCAAAATGCTGGTGCCAAGCCAGCACATGGCACTCATACTGAGTGTAGCTGGCAGGGTGTGGAGGATCAGTTGAAGCAAGTATTCTCCTGTTCTTGTGCTCATGCGAACAGTATCTATCACCTAATGATGTACTGGAAGGCTTGATTCCTAGTGACAATCTTCTCAAAATTTCTGCTTAGAGCTTAGTAACTTGTTAATTACTGCCTTATGCACTCAGCACTCTGTCTGGACCCCACCTTCAATAACCAGGGGTGATCTTCCCATCCCATCTGTACTCCATCCCTATTCCCTACCTTTACACCCATGTCCAATAAATCAATGAAATAGGCAGAAGAGAGTATGTATCGATGAGTTATTAGAGTGCAAGGTTATTACATTATAACAACGTGACACACACAAATGGGTGAAGGGAGAGAGGGAGACACAAAAAATATGGGGAAATGGCAATAGACACACAAAAATATAGGAGTAGGTTGAAAGGCAAAAGCAGTTGGGTCATAGGGATAACAAAATTTACACTCCCACATGCAATATACTACAAAGTCACTGCAGTCACACAGTACACATAAATGCGTTTTCACTATATATGCACACTCATACAAATACATGGCTACCTAAAATTATAAATATATATATATATATATATATATACATATATATATATTTATTTTTTTTTTTAATATACGTTTTTATTGTTTTGAAAAGACATAAGGAAATGGGGTACAGAAAGGAAGAAAGATAGGCACAGGGGTAACATCTTAGAGTGTATCCGGATCCATTGTCATCCTGCTAGAGTATGGGCATAAAACAATCAGGTATATAGTGCTAGCAGTGGTGTTATCCTGGCATGTTACATTCACAGTATATCCATCTGAGTATTAGCTGCCGCTATCTCCAAGCAGGATGAACCTCAAGCACTGAGTCTTATCTAAAGCCTTCCTACTAATTTAGCTGGCTGCAAACCCAAGTTATCAGCGGCGTCTTCAGTAGTTCTTGTTTAAGTTACCTGTGGAGGGTGTTTGCCCTTTGTTAATCCCAGAACTAGGAGTAGGTTAGAACATAGGGGAGTATAACGGGAGGGGGGTAGGGAGGGAGATGGAATTTAGGGGGTTAGGACCAGTGGGGGGGAAATCCTGCCTAAGTTGTTATTATTGAACATCTCAGAATTCTCAAGGTATAGCGGTGGATGGTCGAATATGGTGGGGTGTACCTTAATTAAGTTGTTCTGGATCTCGTCTACCAGGATAAAGGCATCTAGGGGGTGACTCTCCAAAATTGGATCCAGGGTTCCCATATATTTAAATATTTTTCCCCAAGACTGACCAGTGGGTCTCTTCCAGCTCCCTCGTTCTCTCATTGTTCTCTGGTTGGTGTGCTTGTCTGTCGCTAGTACATTGGAATGAGAGCATTAGCTTCTCCCAATAATAGGTTCAATAAATGCTGTTTATGTTTCTCTTCAAAAGAGCAGGGCCAACCTAGCAAAACCTGGGAAGGGGTCAAACTGGTTTGCAAAGGAATAATCTCCTTGACATCACCCAGGATTAGTCACCAATATGGATTAATGTCTTTACACCAAATGTGTTCCATATCCCCCCTCCCATCGCTACATCTCCAGCATTTGTCGCTAACTGTGGGCCAGTAGGTATGGAGCTGTACCAGGGTCCTATACCATCTGGTGACTCATTTATAAAAGGTCTTGTTAGTTCATGTGGGGTATATTGTTCTTATCATGTTGTGTGAATATGATTATTATCTGCGTGAGTGTTTTTTTGCATTTCAGCACTTATATAGATTATTGAAGCATCCACACAGTGAGATGCATAGGTCTCTAATAAACATGATGATGACAGTTAGCAAGTTGATGTTACATATTTTGGACTCGGTGGTTCACGAGGTTGAGACCTAACCTGTTTGCCTCATACTCCATAGTTTAAAATAAAAAATAAGGTAACCATTTGTTGGTGTTTTGTTCCTTTGTGTGGGGTTTAGTGTTCCCATTGTGTCAACCACTTTGTGTTCCCCTTGTTTGTATGTATGCATTGTGACGTGGCGTTGTCTGTACTGGTTGTGCGTTGTGTTGGTATGTGTTCTCTATTTTCGTTAGTGTCTGAGAGGAGAATGCGTGTGTGTATGCCTCATACAGTCATGCTTCAACAATTGTGAAGGTTATGGTTTGGTCTGATGTTTGCATGCAATGACGTGTGTTGTCTTCTACCTCAATTCTTGTGTCTGGTGTTATCTGTAGTTCTACCCGAGGTTGTTCGTGTGTGAGTTGTGTGCGTTTGAGAGAGTTTGTGTGTGAAGTTGATAATCTACTCATCCTCCTGTTGTTGTTTTCAGTCCACGTGGGGTGGGGCGAAGGCTTTTTGTTGAGAGCATGTGTCGTATTAGGCGGTGCTGTTGCTGCATGTGAAGTTTTCAATTGTGTGTTTGTTGAGACCGAGTTTTTCCAGTGTTGTGTCTATTTCTTAGATTCCTGAATTTCGTGTCCTAGTCCTTATATTTGCAGGCGTTTCCCTTCCTTTCTGCTGTCTCCCAATTCAGTGTTTACCATGGAAGTGGGTGCCTTCCCCTTCCTCAGCCCTTTTCTTCGCACTACTACGACGTTGTGTGGGGGTTGTGGTGGTATGAGGGTTGGAAGAGGAGTGAAGAGTAAAGGAGTTGGGTGAGACAAAGTCAGGTGGGGTGGGATAGGGGGTTGCAGGGAGGTATGGGATGATTGAATGCTCACCCTCAGTCCAGGGACCCGCCAGCCGCGCCCCCCGAGCCCCGCCATGTATACTATCCAGGGTTGCCAGCCTTACTACATGTTTTGTGAGATTACCCATCATGGTAGCATGTATCACTTCTGCGGATCTGATGTCTTCCACTCTGTTAAGCCATTGTTCAAATGTGGGTGGTTGGGTTTGTTTCCAGAGGGCAGGTATTAATGCTCTGGCCGCGTCAAGGAGGTGTCAGAGGATTGACTTTTTGTATTTTGAGATATGTTCTTGTGTAAAGTGTAGTAGTATGTTCTCCATAGCTGTGTTGTGTCTCCCAAGACGTCTTTGATGCAAGAGATGATCATGCTCCAGAACGGCTGATTCCAGGGGCACCCCCACCAAATATGTTTCATGGTTCTGACGCTAACTGGGGTTTTTATCCCTGTTTCAAGGATGCCTGCCCAGTCCTTATTGGACATATGGATATGTAAGCCTCTCATACAATTTTGTTGGAATGAAACTTTCTGTTGATTCCCCGATGCTGTTTGGAGTATTTGGTATATTAAGGACAGCGGGCGTTTATGGTCTCCACCTGGGCCACAGATAAGCTCGAAGGGTGTCTTTTCCCTTGGGTGCCAGAAGGAGAGAACCGCTTTAGTCAGGAAGCTGTTTAATTGCGCCCTGCCCATAGTGTCTAGTAACGTCATTTGTCGGTTCGAGAAGTCCCTTCTTTTTGGAGGATCGTCAGACGTCAGGACTGCATGTATGTCCGGGTTAAGATTTCCGGTCAGTCGGGATAGGAAAGTACAAGTCCATAGGAAAGCGTTTCTCAATGCATCCAGCGTTGCAGAAGCGCCTCTAGTGGCTGTCAGGAAGACAGCCACTAGAGGTTGGATTAACCCTGCTATGTAAACATAGCAGTTTCTTTAAAACTGCTATGTTTACATGTGAAGGGTTAAAACCTGAGGGACCTGGCACCCAGACCACTTCATTGAGCTGTCCCTTTAAGTCCACCTCTGCCAATGGTAGACATCAGTGTGGTATAAGCTAGACATGCTGGCTTATTGCCCCAGACATAATTCGCGAAAAATTTCCCTGGGAGGGGGATTGGTAGTGCTTCATCCTACAGAATCCTAGGTAAGATCATCATCTTCAAGATGTTGACTCTTCTCATTAAAGAGAAATAGGGCAGATCCCATTTCTTGAGGTCTCGTCTAATGTTTTCTATGAGAGATGGGTGATTCAGTTTATATAGTCCTTTGAGTTTTGTAGTAGTGTTACACTTCTTCCCATCCCCATCATTTATCCTGGCTATAAATGCTTTTTGGAGCTTCATTTTTAAAGCTTGGGCTAATAGTTTCCAACTCTTTTTGTCGTGGGATAGAATATGCTCTGCGTCATTTGGACCGATCTATGAGCTTTTAGGGCCAGTAGGGAACAGAGTTCCATCCTGAGTGTAGTGAGCTTTTGGAAATTTTCCTGTGTGGGGTCCTGCTTGTGCAATATCTCGCTCTCATGTACGGCCGCTGAAAGAGAGTTAAGTTTGTCAGTGTGTTCTTTTTTATTCCTAGAACCCCACTTAACTAGGGTACCCCTAATGACTCCCTTGTGGGCCTCCCACACCCAGGGATCAGAGACCTCCAAAGTAGTGTTTTCCTTAAAGTAATTGTGTAGTGTTGTGCGTAGGTTTTCCATTACCCTTGGATAATCCAGAAGTGTCTGGCGCCAGTGTGTGTTACGTTTAGCGTCTCCCTGCAAAACTAGGGTCAGGAAGATCGGGGCGTGGTCCGACCATGTGATATTACCAATAGATGCTCCTGTGAGCATGGGGAGATATCTATGACCTAGGAGGAACATGTCTATCCTGAAGTAACTATTCACTACCGGGGAAAAGAACGTGTAGTCCCTATCCTGTGAGTCCTATCCTAATGAGTCGCCAGCAATCCATCACTTGATGGGCATGTAGAGTGCTTTAAAATAGCGTCCGCTGGTGACGTCTGGTAGATGAGCTGTCTAGCGCATGGTCTTAAACCACATTCCAATCTCCACCCAAGATTAGTATCCCCTCTGCAAATCTCTCTAACTTGCTCAGACAGGAGCCGGTGAAATAAACCTGGTCTGATTTTGGGGCATAAATGTGTTCGCTAGTGTGATTAGCTGGCCATTGTAGTGTCCTTTTACAAACAAGAACCTCCCTTCGGGGTCTCTTTTGCTACTGACCTCTTTGAAAGCAATATGTGACGCCAGTAGGATTGTAACCTCCCTAGATTTCCCAATCCTATAGTTACTGTAATAAGTCTGTTGTATTCGTTTAGATCTGAGTCATGGTTGGAAGTCACCCCTGTAGTGGGTTTCTTGGATAAACATAATATTGGCCCCCTGCCTGTCTAGTTCCTGTGTTTACGTTCAGGGACATCAAATTAATCCGTGCCATTGGAGTGGTGTGATATACCTTGCATTAGGTAATGAGCCCCTAAGATGTCACCGTAACATGAGATTCAGTACAGGATGGGTAGGATAAAACAAAAGGAAAAAACAATAACTACGGGAAAATAGAAACTATGTACGAACGTAAGACCAGGGTAGCTCAAACAAGCAGTGGGAATGGTGCCACACCTGTGGGTCACGCTTACGTGTCCACAAGTAGGTTTAAGACACCTTTCTGGGAGTGAGTGGCCTAGTTACCGTAAGGGGAACTGGGGGAGAATCATAACATCTTTAGATAACATAACTGTTGCGTTATTCACCTGAATCAGGTGTGCATCATAAGTAAATAGCGTATTTGTGCACGGAGCCTGAGCCCTTTTGGTCCCCTTTATCCCCACCTATGACATATCATCTCAGTCTGTGTGTGTGTGAAAGGGTCAGTCTGTTTGTGGGGGGGTCAGTCTCTGTGTGTGGGATGGGTCAGTCTGTGTGTGGGGGGTGGGTAAGTCTTTGTGCGTGGGGGTCAGTCTTTGTGCGTGGGGGTCAGTCTGTGTGTGGGTGTGTATGGGTCAGTCTGTGTGGGTGGGCAGTCTGTGGGTTTGTATGGGTCAGTCTGTGTACGTGCTAGAGCTCCAAGAGAGAGACCTCTCATTTTGTGACTTCCCCTGTACCTGATGGATAGGCAGCCTTCTCAACCACCACGGATCTGCAAGGTAAGATCAGGGAAAGGGGAATATTCTTTTTTTTAAAACAATTTATAAAGTTAAAATTGTAAAGATCTTCCCCATTCCACTCTCTACACAGTACACCCTCACAGATAGTGAACCCCCCACATACAGTACACTCCCATCAAGAGTACACCTTTTGCATACACAAACAGTGCACCCCTCACAAATATCTCTCCACCCACATACACACTTCTTCCCCACACAAACACATGCATGCATACATACATGCTTCACCCCATTACACACGGAATCTGTGTCTCCAGTGTGTCTCCTCAATCTTCCTGCAGTTTCTCTCTGCTCCGCTGTGTGCTTTCTATAGTGATGCTGGAGTGACTTCATGCCACTAAACAGTGCACGAGGGAGCAGAGAGGAACTGCAGGAAGGTTACTGCTCCCTGCGTTAGCCGGCTTTAATGTTTCCTGCCCGGCTTTGCAAAGGGCTGACAAATCTTGTCGACATTTGGCGCCTGGAATTTGTCAAGCTCTGTATATGTATGTATGTAGGTGTGTGCGTATGTATGTATATATACTGTATATATATATATATATATATATATATATACATATATATATATACGCACACATATATACACATTTTATAACTGCCTCCCTACTTTTGTCCCTCCCCCAAGTATGAATCTTGGAGACGCCACTGGTGTATATAGCAGGAGTGGTCAAACTTCATGTCTGTAAGAGCCTCATGTTAAACTTTCAAATATTCAAGAGACGCAATTACATTTATTGGAGTGTTCAGCAGATCCCCAGCCCCTTCAGTCATGTGTTTCATTCCTTCCCCCCATGTGTCTTTTTCCCCTGGTCCCCCTTGTGTCTCGTTCCCCCTATGTCTCTCACTGCCCCATTCCCCCGCATGTGTCTCATTCCCCCAACACCCCAAATGTCTTAGTCCCCCCTAGTGTCTCATTCCCCCATGTGTCTAATTCTCCAAGTCCCCACACACCCTGTGTCTCATTCTCCAAGCCATCCCATCCATGTGCCCATAACATGTAAATCGAACCTTGCTCAGATCCTGCAAAGTCTGAAGATTTACTGAAAATAGGAGAATTTTGTTTTCATTTATTTATAATGTATTCTATTATTTTTAAAACCCTCTCTACAGATTGCATTGAAAACAATGGGTTTAATCCAGCTTGATGTATCCCTTTAAAATAAAATTTTTAAAAAATAGCATTTTTTCCATTAGCTCTTTCAGGAGACTTTCATAACAACATCCTGTGGCCTGAGGCCTGCCGCAGATACACCCTGTTTTGTTTTGTATTTCCCTGTTCCAGCTCGCCTAGTGTGGAATTGTTTTTGCAAGGATCAGCATGGAAACACACCCAAATGCTTCTTGCAGTGAGAAGAGAGAAATTCATACATAATATCATTGTAATTTGTAATAATGACTGGAATGGAAAATATTAGGGTTGCAGGAATTAATGTAAAGATTAATTTACTGTTGTATCCTTAGCCGAGTCAGACAAGTTCAGAGGGTTTGTCTACATTTAGATTCTTTGAAAGTCTGTCAAAAATGTTCTGCCTGTCTTTCTGTCTGTATTATCTATATGTCTGTCCAGGGTTGGTGCAAGGATTTTTGGTTACACAGGCGAAGATGCATTTTGTTGCCCCACTCCCCCACCAAAAAAAATGCATCTTCACCTTTGTGTCTCGTAGCCCCCTTTTTGAATTTCTTACCCTCTAGTGCTTCATATCCCCTCTCTTGAATGTCTTACCCTTTTTGCTCCATTGTTTCTTACACCCCCTTAGTGTGTCTCTTACAACCCCTCTTGTGTATTTCTTACTTCCCCACCAGCCACTTTCTGTGTCTAATTATTCCTCCAGCCCCTTTCCGTCTCTTTCTCCCCCCGACCCATTTCTGTCTCTATCTCCCATACAAACATCAATAAATGGGCAAAAATACATATATGCACAGACACAAAATAGAGACACACAATCACAGAGGCACATAGAGATAGTTATTAAGGCACACAGTGACAAAGATATACAGAAATGCAATCAAACAAACACAGACATACAGACACATAGTCATACAATTTACACTTACAGGCAAACTGTCATATACATGCAGACAGACTGTAATACAGTGACATACAGACACAGTTATACAGAGACATAAAGACACAAGCAGTCACACATGCAGTCACAAGTACATATTTACATCTCAGGCCAGTGTTTGTGCATTTGAATGTAAGCATATTTTTGTATAAAGTATGGAGTATGTTTGTGTGAATGTAGGGGTGTGCCTGTGTATAGTGTTGACATTTGAATGCAGCGGTGTCTTTGTATGTAGTGTTGGCGTTTGACTGCTGAGATGTATGCACATTTAGACAAACACTGCCATACACACTGTGATACACATACACACAGATGCACACACTGACATACATGCAGATACACTGACACACATGCAGATACACATACACACATATATATATATATATATAAACTGGTACATATACAGATAGACACAGATACACACACTGACAACATACAGATACACACACACACTGACATACACAGGCACACAGTGACAGACATACAGACACACACAGCCATACAGATACAAACACATACACACTGATAGACATAAAGATACACACACATACAGATGCACACACTGACAAACAGAAACAAACACAGACACAAACACTGACAGACATACATACACAGACACACAGATTGACAGACACAGACACACGCACTAACAGACATAGAGATATACACACACATACAGACATACAGTTACAGACACATGCACTGACAGACATACAGATACACACACAGACAGACATACAGATACACACACACATACACACACTGACAGACATACAGATACACATATACACACACACAGTCACGCACTGACAGACATACAGATACACACACACAGTCACACACTGACAGACATACAGATATACACACAGAGACACACACACATGCTGATCATATATATTTTTATAGCCACGCTCCTGTTTTCTACCTTTTGGGTGCAGGAGGGTGGCATCCCTGAAATCCAGTGTGAAGATCTGGCTGAGGTAGTTGGGAGTTAGGGACAGCCCCTTCTCTCCTCTCTGATGTCCCACGCTGCTCCAATCATGCCGATACGGAGGGGGCGGTAGTTCCAGTTCCTGCATGGCGCCAGCCGCGCTGTGTGTTATGCAGGGAGCAGGGATATGACGTGCTCATATCCCCGCCCCTTCACGCAGTTCGTGGCATGATGCAGGATTTTTTAGTTATTTACCAATTTACATCACAATCCAGTACATTTCAGCCATATCCAGGTTACAAAATGCACTGGAGGATGAGTAACAGAAGCAATCAGGGTTATTCACAAAAGTGAGAATTCAAAGTGAATTTCAAATTTAAGGTCAAAATAACTAAACCAAAAAAAAAATCCCTAATTCAGCAATGCTTCCAGTTCAGCCGCTTTGACCTAAAATTAAAAATTTTGTTTGAACTCACTTTACATGGTTATATAGGCTGAATACAGACTACCAGCCATAAAGTTTAGCCTTTCTCACATCTGTTTCTCCTGTTCACCGAAACATGGTAGTCAGATCTATTAACCCACATATAAAATATTCTAATATATGATGCTTATGCAAGCATTCATCCAGTCACTGATTAAAGGAACACTATAGCATTAGGAATTTAAATGTGTATTCCTAATGCCATAGTGTCCTAGTTACCATTTAGGTGACACTGCCAGTGCTGCCCTACGCTCCGCAAGGGTTAAAACTTAAACTAACTTACCTTTTCTCCCATATAGCGCTGCTCTCTCTATGGCTGGCCTCGCTTCATTGGCAGAATTCATCAAGATTAAGGATCTCAGCCAATCCAATAATTTCCTATAGGATGGCATTGGGAGGCTAGTGTACATACCATCTGACAGAAAGAGCCAAGCTTTACTTGGCTATTCCTGTGGAAGCACCACTAGAGGTATTTAAACCCTGCAATATTTTATACAGCAAGGTTAAAACAAGGGGGACTTTGCAAATAGACCACTTCATTGAGATGTTTCTTTAAAAATATGTACAGTCTCTGATAAGACCACCTCTTTGGGCATAGAATGCTCCATCTTTATGTTCCTTACTGTAAAGAACCCTTTTCCTTTACCTTAGTCTAAATCTTCATTCTTCCAATATAGACCTTGATTTCCAGACAATAAAATTCTCACTTTATTGATAACCTTGGTTGTTTCAGTTTTTCTTCCTTTCTCTGTGTTGACGGACAAGTGCAAAGGGCCCATCTTAAAACATTGATTAACAGAGAGCTAAGACGTATGCAGTCCCATTTACCTGTATTTTTCAGACTTCACATTTTTTATAATGTTAAATATATGGGATAAGTAAGCATAATATTATAATTCCTGATAAGTGATGGCTCCTCTTCAATCCACTATTTCCTTGAAAAACAAGTTACATTTTTACAGATTCTTATTTTAATTACTTTATTTAATTTTCAGGAGAGTCTTGGCATAATTCCAAGGCAATGCTCATGTGAAGTTGGGTTGCAGTAACATCTACGATCAGAAAACTATTAGCACTGGGAATACAGCCTTTCAATCGTTTTTCTTAGATAATCCGTGTTGCCTCCTTGGAAACATTCAGCCTGTAAAAAAAAATGAAAGGAAGGAGACAATTATGCTTAGTTATAGCTTAAAAATGTATGTTATTGTGAACATACTAGGATATTCAGATTTCTTTATATAAGTGCTCTGAACATTAATTATTAATAAGGAAATATAACAATTCCTGGAAAAATAAGCATAACTGCTAATTATATAAACCTATGAACATTTCACATTATTAATAGCTTACAATCAGTCCAATTCAGCTTTTGAAGCAAAATTCATAGATTGCACATAGATCACCAGGGCCGGCGCAACTTTAAGGCAGCACAGGCAGCCACCTTTGGGCACACCAGTCTGGAGGGGGGGCAATGATCAGGTGACTGGTAGGATTACAGAGCTCCCCATTCTGCCAGTGACTTCTTGGAGCGTGGTCATGTGGACCACAGTAGAGGATACAGAAGATCCTCTACCATGGTCTGCGAGGCGATGCTACAATGAGTTAAGCAGGCATACCAGGGGCAGAGTAGTAAAGAAAACAAAAGGAACCAGGAAAGGGGAAAAAGAGACACACACAGGGGCTGGGGGGAGGAGAGACATGGTGCTGGTGGGAAGATAAACACAGAGGAGCTGGTGAAGGGGTGAAAGAGACACACAAAAGATGCTGGGGGAATAGGAAACACACAGAGGGACTCAGGGCCACCATCAAAAATTGTGTGGCCACTAACACAGCTCAAGGTCTGGGGCCCCAGGTGTCCATTTCCATGCCCCACCGCCAAATCCCGCCCACAGGAATACACACACACAGACACAAAAGGACACAGACACACACACAGAAAGATACACACATACTAACAGACACAAATACTGAAACAGACATACACACTGACGTACATACATACTCACATACTGACACACACACATACATACATACATACTCACAAACTGACATACATACACATAAATACATACTGACATACATACATAATGGCATACATACACATACATACTGATATACACACACAGATAGATATATACACAGATACATACATACATACTGACATACACACACACACAGACATACATGAATACTGACATACATACATACATACATACACACATACATACTGACACACACACAGATATATATATATATATATATATATATATATATATATATATACTGGCAAACACACAGACATACATATTGACATACATGCATACTGACATACACACACTCAGACATACATACATACTTGCAGACACATACATACTGACAAACAGACATACATACAGATATATATATAAATACTGACATACACACACACATACAGATAGACACACACACACAGACATACATACTGACATACACACACAGACACATATACATACTGACGTACACACAGACATACATACACACATACATACTGACACACACACAGACATATATACATACTGACACACACAGACATACACACACAGACATATATACATACTGACATACACACACACACACAGAGACATATATACATACTGACATACACACAGACATACATACTGACATACATACACACACACACAGACATATATACATACTGACATACACACACAGACATACATGCATACTGACATACATACACACATACATACTTGCAGACACATACATATACACACACACTTCATTTATCAGCCACCCTCCTCTTACCTTTAAGTTGCAGGAGGGTGGCTGGGGATGATGGAAGTGGTTGCCTCTGGTGTCCTCTCCTGTCTTCTGCTCTTCCTCTCCTCCGCTCTCCCTCTCCCCCCGCGCGGAGTAAGCTGGGAGCAAGTGACCAGCCATCACTTCCTTCCAGTGACACTTGCGGTGTAGCCGCAATTTCTTTTTTAAGGGGCCCGGTCGCGCAATTACATGGCCGCAGCGCTGACCGGGCCCCTGAAGTTATAGGGCCACCTGATTGGCCCCGGTGCAGATGCACCTGCGGCAGTTTCGCCGCTCCACGTGGGGCTGGGGAAGTGTAAACTAGACACGCAAAAGGGACTGAGGGCAAGAGACATACAAAATGGACTGGTGGGGAGACAAACAAAAGTGACTGGAGGAAGAGAAACATAAAAAGTGCTCGGGAAGAGACACACAAAAGTAGCTGGTGGAGAAAGAGACATACTGGGCATGGGGAGAAATAAATATGCAAAAGGCACTGGGGAATATGCTCACAGAGAGGCTGGCAAGAAGTAAAAGACACACAAAGGGACTGGGGAAAGGAAGAAATAGACCCACAAAGGGTCTGGGGAAGAAAGAGACACACAAGGGTGTTTTGGGTAGAAAGAGACACAAAGGGGTGAGGGATAAGGGATGTAAGATACACACAGGGACTGGGGGAACTAAGAGAAACACAATGGGTGGTTGTAACAGACACACAAATGGGAATAATACACACTAAACTGGGATGAAAGACACAAAAGGAAAGTAAGATATATTAAAGTGGGTAAGATATTAAAAAGAGAAAAGGGGGTACGAAATATAAGAGTGGGGCTAAGAGACACACAGATGAAGATGCATTTTGGTGGGAGGTAGCAAAATGTATCTTCGTCTGTGTAGCCAAAAATCCTAGCACCGGCCATGTGGATCACAGCAAATGTTGAGCATGTGTTTTTTGCCTGACATCTATAAAGTTAGTAGGTTTTTCTTTGCTGTGTAATATCTACAAAAAGTGTGACTGCTGTTTGTTCTTTCTTATACACTTTCTCTCAACCAAATTATGTGGATTGTTCACAAAAAGCACTGATGCCTCCAAAGACATTTTTTTTCTAGTAGCAGAAAGCACAAAGGCCAAAGAAATCTACAGTTCAGAGCTGTATGAAATCCTAAAGTGTTGTTTGCCAGAGAGCTTAGTTCATGTACCACTGTGCCCAGCAATTTTGCCATGGCTTATGAATCTTAGCCAGCTGTTTAATCTCACAGCCCTGCAATATGCAGTCTTGTTCTTGACTGCTTTACTTGTCAGAATTTCTAGCCTGAAGTACCCCCACTATAAGGACAATATGTATTTTGTATTACTTATCCTATGGTATGATTCCCTCTTTTTCTTCCCTTAAAGGGATACTCAAGTGGTAACTACATTATTACTATTTTTGTTTGTGGCGCCCTGCCCTGTTTTATACAATTCATTGTGGTCCACATTTTACAATGCATATCAACAGTGCTACATGTGCTGCAAGGTCCTTGCAATTTTGACTCAAAAGTCCTGATCAAACAATGCCACAGACTTCGGATAGAAATGCCACCAACTTTGTGCTAAAAATGCACAGCTCAAGAAAAGAAACCATGAATCAAATGTAAATGAAAAGTTTATAAGGACTTCACACCAACTCTAAATTGCATCTAAGGTCTGTTTCATGTCTGCACTAATGAAAAAAAAAAACATGGGTGATGCAAATTCAAAATTGGGCGTGGGTATATGGTGAAAATGTTTTAACACTTAAAGGAGACTGATGCAGAGAAATATAAAGAGATTGGGGGAGGAGGGGATAGTGGAAAATACAAGTAAACATAGCTACACAGAACTCATGACATTATAGCACACAGCCTTACACACTATATTTAAACTGCATGAACACAGTGATTGCCGTTAGTGATGTCCCGAACTGTTTGCTGAACGGATCGCGAACGGTTCCCCACGAACGGTTCGCCGCGGACTCATCATTGAGTAAACTTTGACCCTGTACCTCACAGTCAGCAGACACATTCCAGCCAACCAGCAGCAAACCCTCCTTCCCAGACCCTCCCACCTCCTGGACAGCTCACTAAGAATGCAGCTTCACAATGGATGCTGTCCAGGAGGTGGGAGGGTCTGGGAGGGAGGGTCTGCTGCTGATTTGCTGGAATGTGTCTGCTGACTGTGAGGTACAGGGTCAAAGTTTACTCAATGATGAGTCCGTGGCGAACCGTTCGCGAACCGCGAACAGTTCGGGACATCACTAATTGCCATGCTTCCCAAATGTACTCCCACTTTTACCCACACACACAGGCAACACAAAATACTACACATATTTAAAACCACTTGCTGAAATATATTCTGCATCCCACACATACAGACACTAAACACAAACACAATGGCATTAAACTTTCTTTTGCCACAGGTACGCGGAAATTTAGGACTGGCTAGTGTACAGTTTGTCTCCCCACTGTGTAATGCATGGAGCATTCTGTCACTGTGTCTGTGGACCCAGTGAGATGTAGGACATGAGGTATATTAGTGGACCAGTTGAGGACATAAGATAATTTATTCAAAATGCTCAGAGCTTATTTCCAGTAATGTAATCAAAGAGAGGGTCATTCGGGAACAATTTGACCCTTGGCCCAGACTGAAAGTATGGGGGAATTTATAAAGGCAACAATGTAAGTAATTCTGGGGCAAAGTGCTAATTAAGAAGGAATCGCCATGTAAACTAATATAATGTTTCTCAACATTTGGCACTTTGAGTCTGAAATAGCACTTATATTGCCTTGCTAAATCTCCACAATAGTGTTATATCCTTTTTTTATTTTAAATGACACTGTCAGTTACTATACATCTGACATTATTGATTGTAGATTGTTCATATGTTCTCAATAATAGGTAGTAACTGAAAGTTAGATAGAATGTAGTAGTATTATTTTGTACCAATTTACAATTTTGACACAAAATGCAATGCATAGGAAGAGAATAACTAACTACAAAAATACAGCATATATTGTAAACTATACAAAAGTCTGTAATATTAATAAGTAATTATCAAAAATAATAATTATTATTATTATCATACCTCTGTCTGAAGCCACTAAGCAAAGTAAAATAATAAGAATAATTTTTCACAACAAACATAAAATTATTTTAACAAAACCATCTTATACTGACACGACCATGTATTTGAAAGAGGAGATATTACTGTTCTCAAACAAGGGTTCTCATGCTTGTTTCAGTATTTTGAGGCACAATGAGGTGCTACCACTCCCACGTGATTTTGTTACCAATGGGTATGATAATAATGCTGCTGTTATGATTGCCTTATAGCTACATGAACATGTAAACCCTCACATAGAAGTGCTGAGCATTCTAAAAGGCACATAGTAGAAAGGTGATTACAACTCCTATTGTAATTACCTGTTACCAAGTGGAGCATGACACCCTACATTTCAAATCGAACAGTTTGCTCTTTCATATGAGAGATACAATTTTGAAGAGTTGCTTTCAATTGGCTAGCTGGTTAATGACCAAAGTTTGCTGCCATCATTAACTGAACTTGAAAACATTGTGCCATAAGGGAATGCTTTGCTTAAAGGGACACTATAGTCACCAGAATAACGACAGCTTAATGTAGTTGTTCTATTGAGTATAGACAGTCCCTGTGGACATTTTCATGCAAACACTGTCTTTTCAGAGAAAAGGCAGTGTTTATATTAAAGCCTAGGAACACCTTCAGTGGCCACTCCTCAGATGGCCACTGGAGGTGCTTAATTGGGCAGCGCTGCACAGTGTGCATTGAGACGCTGAAATTTCCTCATAGAAATGCATTGATCTATGAGAAATGCATTTGCCCTGCCCCCACCCTATCTCATTGACAATCTCAGGCAATTCAATGCTTTCCCTACAAGAAAACATTAGATTGTCTGAGAACATCAATTCTGATTATATCACCCAAAGAGGCGGTTTGGGGGCGGAGCCAGCACCAGTATGTTTTAACCCTTTCTAAGGAGGTTAAGTGAGGGTAAAACACATTAATGCTGGTTTAAACACTGCTGGGCCAGGAATACATGTTTGTGTTCCTGACCCTATAATGTTCCTTTAATTATATTTATAAGCGCACTATCACCTTGATGTTGTTAAAGAAGAAACTCATTCTATTTTTGCAAGGGGATCTTTAAAATCTTGATTATTTTGACAGCATGCAATTGACCATATTTGGACCTTTAGGGTCTGATACCATATACCGTAACTGTTTTACTGCTTGTGCAAATTTACTTACTATCACTCCATCAATCAAAAACATGAATGCCGGGACTCCACTGATTTTATACTTTTGAACAAACTCCTACAAATGAAACAGAGAAGAGTATGAAAAGTAAATTAAAGATTATTCAGTGATATTTTTACATTTCTTTATGCATAAATCTAAAGCACATTCTGCATTGCTGTACATGTTAGGTCATTTGGTCATCAATTTATTTACTACGTTTGTTCGTATGGTTTTTTACCACTCACATCTGCTTTTTTGACGTCGACTTTAATAAAAGTAACATCAGGCATCTGTTCACTCAATCCCTGTAAAATACACAAAGAAACATTTTTAAGAAACATTTTTAACATATTTGCAATACTCTAATTGAAATAGGTTCTACATTAATAATGTATTTACTGCGTTGCCTCATGTATCAAAGTAAATAGGCAGGCCCACATATAAAAATGATTAGTGCCAATATTAGTTCTGGGATGAAAGCTAAGGAAGGTCATAAAATATGGTAGCTTACATATTCTAAAGCCTGGACATGTCCCAATGCCCTAGTGGACTCTATGGATGCTGAGGGGACACACCAACGTGGCCCAAAATACCCACACTAAAGTTGGAGTTAAAATGTGCATGAGGGGGGTAAAGTTATATCAGAGCTATTGTCATAGGGTCACATATACACGGTCTTGTGTATGCATAGTATTAAATGCAAATGCGTCTTATATTGATGAAGATGGAGTCCTTAAAGCTTCAAATGCTGTTTATTCCAAATGTGTGTCCGTCCACAAAGGTTATTTGTATTTTAGAATAATAAATGAGCATAAAGGAAAAATCTATTACCTACAGAGCTTAAATAATAAGAAACCTCACAACCTAAGATTTTCTCTAAAATGTCATTATTATTGGTCATTTCCCTGTTTGCACTACTTGATGGTCCATCTAGATCAGGGGTCGAAAACCTGTTCCCTATCGCCCACTATTGCTCAGGCTTCATGGCTGAGCTGCACACACAGAGGATTCAAAAGTCCCCCCTCCCTCCCTGGCCAAGGGTAGGTAGAAGGAAGGGGTCATATAAATTAGTTGTATTAGTTAAAATTTACATTTCTTTTTTAAAATATTTTTTTTAAATAAAAGGCAGACAATGTAATAGAGCAGCAGGAAATGCCAGCAGAATGCTTGGTTGTATAGGGAGAGGTATTAGCAGTAGAAAACTGGTGAGACCTCACTTGGAGTCTTGTACGCAGTACTGGAGACTGTATCTTCAAAAGGATATTGATACTTTAGAGAGAGTTTAGAAAAGGGCTACTAAACTGGTTCATGGATTGCAGTGAAAAACTTACAAGGAAAGGTTAAAGGAACTTAAAATGTATAGCTTGGAAAAAAGACGGTACAGGGGGGATATGATAGAAACATTTAAATACATATAGGGAATCAACACAGTAAAGTGGGAGACTATATTTAAAAGAGGATGATCTGCCATCACATTCTATGTTAAAAAGAAGAAAACATGCACCCCCTAGACACACACACACACACACAAACAAACACACACAGCACCCCCTCTACACACACACATGCAGCACCCCCTCCACACACACACACACACACACACACACACAGTACCCCCGCCACACACACACCCACACAGAACTCCCACCACACACACACCCACACAGAGCTCTCCACACACTCACTCACATCCCACACACCCACACTGAACCCCTCACCGAAGTGTGTGTGTGTGTGTATTCAACAGTCTGTGTGTGTATTCAGTAGTGTGTGTGTGTTCAGCAGTCTGTCTCTGTGTATTCAGCAGTCTATGTGTGTGTATTCAGCAGTCTGTGTGTCTATTCAGCAGTCTGTGTGTGTGTATTCAACAGTGTGTGTGTGTATTCAACAATATGTGTGTGTGTATTCGGCAGCCTGTGTGTATGTGTTCAGCAGCCTGTATGTGTGTATTCAGCAGCTTGTGTGTATGTTTTCAGCAGCCTGTGTGTGTGTATTCAGCAGTCTGTGTGTGCATTCAGCAGTCTGTGTGTGCATTCAGCAGCCTGTGTGTGTGCATTTAGCATCCTGTGTGTATGCATTCAGCAGTCTGTGTGTTTGTATTCAGATGTCTGTATATGTGTGTGTGTGTTCAGCAGTCTGTGTGTGTGTGTATTCAGCAGTCTGTGTGTATGTTTTTAGCAGTCTGTGTGTAACAGTCTGTGTGTATTAAACAGTCAGTGTTTGTGCATTCAACAATCAGTGTGTGTGTATTCAGCAGTCTCTGTGTGTATTCAGCAGCCTGTGTGTGTATTCTGCATTCTGTGTGTGTGTTTATTCAGCAGTCTGTATGTGTGTATTCAGCAGTCTGTGAGTATGTATTCTGCAGTCTGTGTGTGTGTGTGTGCGTGTGTGTGTATTCACCATTGTGTGTGTGTGTGTGTTTAGCAGTCTGTATGTTTTCAGCTGTCTGTGTGTTGTATATTTAGCAGTCTGTGTATATTCAACATCCTGTCTTTGTGTGTATTCTGCAGTCTGTGTATATGTAGTCAGCAGTCTCTGTGTGTGTATTCAGCAGTCTGTGTGTGTGTATTCAGCAGCCTTTGTGTATGTATTCAGCAGCCTGTGTGTGTGTATTCAGCAGTCAGTGTGTGTGTTTTCAGCAGCCTGTGTGTGTGTATTCAGCAGCCCGTGTGTGTATTCAGCAGTCTGTCTGTGTATTCAGTAGTCTCTGTGTGTATGTTTTCAGCAGCTTGTGTGTGTATTCAGCAGTCTGTGTGTGTGTATATCTAGCAGTATGTGTGTGTCTGTGTATTCAGCAGTCTGTGTATATTCAGCATCCTGTCATTGTGTGTATTCAGAAGTCTGTCTGTGTATTCAGCAGTCTGTGTATATGTATTCAGCAGTTGCAGTGTGAGTATTCAGTAGTCTGTGTGTGTGTGTATTCAGCAGCCTTTGTGTATGTATTCAGCAGCCTAACTGTGTGTATTCAGCACTCTGTGTGTGTATTTAGCAGTCTGTGTGTATTCAGCAGTCTGTGTGTGTGTGTATATAGCAGTATGTGTGTGTCTGTGTATTCGGCAGTCTGTGTGTGCGTGTATATAGCAGTATGTGTGTGCCTGTGCATTCAGCAGCCTGTGTGTGTGTGTGTGTTCAGCAGTTTGTGTGTATGTATTCAGCAGTCTCTGTGTATGTATTCAGCAGTCTGTGTGTGTTTATTCAGCAGTCTGTGTGTGTGTGTTCAACAGCCTGTGTGTGTGTATTTAGCAGTATGTGTGGGTGTGTATTCAGCAGTCTGTGAGTATGTATCCAGCAGTCTGTGTGTGTATTCAGCAGTCTGTCTGTGTATTCAGCAGTCTCTGTGTGTATGTTTTCAGCAGCTTGTGTGTGTATTCAGCAGTCTGTGTGTGTGTATATCTAGCAGTATGTGTGTGTCTGTGTATTCAGCAGTCTGTGTATATTCAGCATCCTGTCATTGTGTGTATTCAGAAGTCTGTCTGTGTATTCAGCAGTCTGTGTATATGTATTCAGCAGTTGCAGTGTGAGTATTCAGTAGTCTGTGTGTGTGTGTATTCAGCAGCCTTTGTGTATGTATTCAGCAGCCTAACTGTGTGTATTCAGCACTCTGTGTGTGTATTTAGCAGTCTGTGTGTATTCAGCAGTCTCTGTGTGTGTGTATATAGCAGTATGTGTGTGTCTGTGTATTCGGCAGTCTGTGTGTGCGTGTATATAGCAGTATGTGTGTGCCTGTGCATTCAGCAGCCTGTGTGTGTGTGTGTGTTCAGCAGTTTGTGTGTATGTATTCAGCAGTCTCTGTGTATGTATTCAGCAGTCTGTATGTGTTTATTCAGCAGTCTGTGTGTGTGTGTTCAACAGCCTGTGTGTGTGTATTTAGCAGTATGTGTGGGTGTGTATTCAGCAGTCTGTGAGTATGTATCCAGCAGTCTGTGTGTGTGTGTGTGTGTGTTCAGCATTGTGTGTGTGTGCATGTGTGTGTGTGTTTAGCAGTCTGTATGTTTTCAGCTGTCTGTGTGTTGTATATTTAGCAGTCTGTGTATATGCAGCAGTCAGTGTATATTTATTCAGCAGTCTGCATGTGTATGTATTCAGCACCCTGTGTGTGTGTTCAGAAGTCTGTGTGTGTGTGTGTTCAGCAGTCTGTGTGTGTGTGTTCAGCAGTCTGTGTGTGTGTATTCAGCCGTCTGTGTGTGTATTCAGCAGTTTGTGTGTATGTATTCAGCAGCCTGTGTGTGTGTATTCAGCAGCCAGTGTGTATGTTCATTCAGCAGCTGTGTGTGTGTGTGTGTGTGTGTGTGTGTGTGAATTCAGCAATATGTGTGAATGTGGGCGTATTCAGCAGTCTGAGTGTGTGTATTCAGCTGTCTGTCTGTGTGTGTGTATTCAGCAGTCTGTCTCTCTGTATGTATTCAGCAGTCTGTGTGTATGTATTCAGCAGCCTGTGTGTGTGTGTGTGTGTTCAGCAGTCAGTGTGCGTGTATGCAGAATAATGTGTGTGTGTTTGATTTGCAGTCTGTATGTATTCATCTGTCCATGTGTTTGCATATTTAGCAGTCTATGTATATTCAGCAGTCTGTGTATATTCAGCAGTCTGTCTTTGTGTGTATTCAGCAGTCTGTCTTTGTGTGTATTCAGAAGTCTGTCTGTGTTTGTTTATTCAGCAGCCTATGTGTGTATATTCAGCAGTCTGTGTGTGCATGTATTCAGCAGTCTGTCTGTGTGTGTACTTAGCAGTCTGTGTATATGTATTGTATTTCCCTGGCGGCCTAATATGCTGTTAAAATGGCCCTAATCTGGGGTCTGTGTGTGCTCTGATCATGCTCCTACAAAATGTAAATTAAAAAACACTAATCTGAGTACCAGGAAGGTAATGAGCTGTAACAGCCGCGTCTGGCCAGGAATAGGTTAAATACTTCTAATTTGTATTTATTTCTCTGGGGTTTTTTTATTTTATTTTATTTATGCGATTTTTGTATCACTAATGGATGTCCCGGTTTTTTATTTTCAAAATCTGGTCACCCTGGTCAGTATGGATCATTGTGTGTAGGTGTCAGTATGGATCAATGTGTTAAAACAGCATAGGATTCCCAGGTATATAGACAAGTACAAAGCATAAATGGAAATATGCTATTTAATAATTTCCAGTAAAATTCAAATCCCAGCTGACCTTATGTTATCCCAAAACAAAGATATCGGAATTATCTGAATGTATTTCTGCTTACTTCAAGCAATTTTGTTGTTTGCTTGCATGCTCCACATCCTACTGAATTGAAAGTAATTACACAAAGTTTTCCCGCACACTGCTTTACTTTATCTCTTAGCTCATCCTGAAAAAAAAAAAAAAGGAAATTAAACATTAAAATACAATGAAATTAGTTAGTTTCATGCATTGGTTTCTCAGCATAAAATAATCTGCAACCCAAATGAATAGATTTTCCCAGGATCAAGCAGAGATGTGATGTTGATGAAAAAATGTATTTCACTCAATATGCTGAGTTGTATATTAACGCAGTACAATTCTAGAACAGACAGAATTCTAATCCTTGGGTTCATGGTAGCATGCTTTTACGTGTTAATAAATCATTAGGGTACAATCTTTTCAGTAATGTATGAAAGATTGTGATTCTCTATAACAAATAGTAAAACATAATTTGCAAATGAAACAATATACTATTCCCTTTCTCATCGGGGAATTGATTAAACAAAATCAGAGACACATGTAAGAACAAAGGAACTTGACAGAAAAACAGATGTCGACCAAAAGAGATGCCAGCATAGCAAATATGATAATTAAAGGACAACTGTCACCTCAAAACTAACTAATAATCCTTTCCTCATATCTTGAAAGGAAACAGATTAAATTTAATATGTAAAAAAATGTAAAAAAATATGATAAAATCTAACCCATACCTTTAGTATACAACAAATTCCTTCAGCCATGTGCATGCACTTTGGGTCAGACTATATTTGAAAACTGACATTTACAGGCTTATTCACCAAAGTGAGAATTTAAAGTGAATTTTGCATTTAAAATGCTCATGAAGACTGTGATGTTATTTCAACTGAAATTACATAATAGTCAAAAGATATCAAAAGACAATTGTCACGCAAAGACCCCAGAAGGTGACAGGGCCACTTTAAACAAAATGTGGAAGAATTAAGAAGTTTTGCAGGTGTATATAAACTGCTAAAAATGCCAAGCAGTTTTACTTATCTTAGTTTTTGCAAATTATTATGTTTATTACAACAGAAATGAATTACAAAAACTCCCCAGGATCATGAGGAAGCAACAAAATGGATCTTTTCAACATAGTCAAAATATATCAAAAGACAAAATAGGGAATACTTTGTCTTATGGTAAATCCTCAAGTTGAGAAAAGGCAGAGCTATCGCCATCACGTTTTGTCACTTCACGCAGACAAACGTGGCTAGCTGAGAGAAAAGGGCATTGTTACGCAAAGACCCCAGAAGGTGACGGGGCCACTTTAAAAGAAGGAGACTATATTTAAAAGAAGAAAAACTACCACAACAAGAGGACATAGTCTTAAATTAGAGGGACAAAGGTTTAAAAATAATATCAGGAAGTATTACTTTACTGAGAGGGTAGTGGATGCATGGAATAGCCTTCCAGCTGAAGTGGTAGAGGTTAACACAGTAAAGGAGTTTAAGCATGCGTGGGATAGGCATAAGGCTATCCTAACTATAAGATAAGACTAGGGAGTAATGAAAGTATTTAGAAAATTGGGCAGACTAGATGGGCCGAATGATTCTTATCTGCCGTCACATTCTATGTTTCTATGTTTCTATGTGCAAGAATTACAGAAGGCACAATGCTAATGTACTTTGAAGCAACACATAAGAAACAAAAGTAAGATTTTACTATATTTAGAAGGGGAGGGGGGAGCAGACACGGGCTAGATGGTGGTTTTAGCCTTATAGTGTTCCTTTAAAAATTATCCTGCCGACACTGGAATAAACACCTAAATATCCAGAGCTTGTAGAATAATTGGGAAAAACTGTTTGTCTGCAAGCACATTTGTAATTCTAGCTAACCTAGAACACCAGTTGATGTATACATGTTATAATTTTGCTTGTTATTTTATTAGCTTACTATATGTTATTATGATATGTTATTGGTACAATAAAAACACAAATAGGCTGATGGTGATTTTTGTGCACTGTGACTACCATAATATAAACTTCACAACATTAATCCAGAACCAGTGCCAACTGCCAATACTGACAACTAGTTTCTTTCTAATTTCTGTTTAATCACTTAAAAGTGGACACAAAGACAAGAATATTATAGCTGTCCCTCCTATAGGACAACTAGGGCATGATGATTTGGAAAGGGAAAGAACATGATGGGTGGGTATGAACATGTGATGGAAAATTTCATTAGGAGAAGGGTGTGTATGTACTATGGCAGGCCTGAGGCAGGATAACTTCTAGCTCCACTACTGCTGAATAAGACCATTTGCACCAACAAGCATATTGGATTAAGTAATGCTTTGACTTATATAACCAGGCAACAAGGAAACAACAGAGAATACACAACAAGCATAAAGAGCTTCCAGACAGCAATCTCAGCCACATTTAAGATTTTTCATATTTTAAGAAATGGAATTTACAGCACAAACACTACTAAAATAACATTTCGCAACCCCCCATCTATGGCACGTAAGGCTCACTGTAATGTAAACCATGTGCCACCAAAACTAAATTCCATCAGTATCCCGAGAGTTGTAGATATACAATAGCAGAGGTCTACTCACTTAAGCAAAATTTTGGGTCAAAAGAGCAGAGCTTTAAATCGAAATATTTTGAAAATATTTCCAATTTAAGAAGTTTTGCAGGTGTATATAAACAGCTAAAAATGCCAAGCAGGTTTACCTATCTTAGTTTTTACAATTAATTCAGTTTGTTACAACAGAAGTTAATTACAAAAACTCCTCAGGATCATGAGGAGGCAACAAAATGGATCATTGCCAAGAGCGTCAAAATTCCTTGGACCTGCCCTAATTGTGAATAACAAAGAAGCCTCTATGTGTTATCTAATAATCATAAATCATATTTACCCATAACCATGGATATGAAAATTGTCTGAATATGAATTAAAAAAAACAATTAAATGTGAAATATACGTTTTTGTATACAACCACAAAAACGCTCCCATGCCTGGATCCATAGATTTTATGACATTTATAAGTGGTGGTTATGCTGCAAAATATTGTTGCTGATGAATGAGAGACAAGACGTGCAACATGCTGCTTTAAACGTTTCTATCTAATGACCACTAAATTAAAACACATACATGTTACCATCATCTTAGCTTACATCATTTTTAACATCATAAAGAGAAATAGAAGGATATTCTGCTACATATTGCCATGAATGATAGGAAATCTAATCTAACTAGCAATTTACATACAGTATTGATAAACCATCCTTCAACACAAGTATAATTCCATTATAGATGTAAGCTATCAGCGTAATTTATTAAAGTGAGAAATTTACAGTGAATTCCAAATTTAAGTTAAAAGTAAGGAAATAAAAGCATACTGACTTTTTTTGAATTTTTGCCTTTAATTTAGTGACTAACCCCATATGTCTACATATGAATACATTGATATATTTATTATTTCTTCACATGTTCTTTACAATTACATGTGAAATGGATCACTATAATTTTAAGTGTGTGGCCACAGGTGGGATTTTTCTGAGAAATACATTTTGCTACTAAAATGTAACTTAGAACAAAAACAAGGCGACTTGTTTCAAGAGATGGATTTCTAAACACATTTATTGTAGTTTACATACACATTACTGGAAATTAGCATTCACAACTCTATTATTCCCTCAGACACACCAACAACAATATGAATAGAAAAGATATATTGATATAATATGTAAAAATGTTCAATAAAAAATATTTGAAAAGATTAACCATTACCTAGGGCATTTAGATGAGATTTCAAATGGGTTTCTACAGAAGTATTTTCAAACTGACTTAAACCAAGAATTGAGCGGACTTTTACAGTGACTAACATTTTAGGGCAAAGTAGCCAAGTTGGGTAAAATGGTCTAGAGTGCACTTTTTTTACACTCAGTTATTAAAGCATCGAAACAATGAATTTTAATTGTTAAAATGTTTTTTTTTTTTTTTTATGCTGTTTTGGAAATTGTCCTAAAAAAACCTGGCAGAAGGTTATGTTTTTTTTATGCAAGCAAATCAAATTATAAGACTAAGATAATTAACATAATGTTAGTGCATAAAACTCTAGCAGATATTAGGGGAAAATATTGTGTATAGCTATGCAGTTGCAAAAAAATTCAATATCTATGCAAAACATATAGAGAAAATTTGAATCGAAAATTTCTTACGTCATCGTAGACCTCAATCATTGTTGAATTTTCTGTCCACCAAGCTCCAAGGGAGATGATACTGACAAGAACCTGGCACACTCTGTGACTTGAACTTGCCTAAATCCTTTTATTTATGAAGATTCCAAATGCCTGACGGCAGACAGGCAAACCCAATATTACTAAATCAGATCAGTGCTCATCTAAACACTGGGAGTGGCAAGACTAGTTTAGGTGTGCACATTGATCTCTGTATGAGTAATGTTGCTGAAGTTAATACTATTGTCTGGTCCCTGATTCGAGTTGGCATTTACTTCTTTCATTTTGTGAGAAGATGCTTCTCAAATTTTTACAGACTGCTGGTCATACATTAGTTGACAGTGTAATATAAATGCATGGATCATATTGTAGATACAGACATATCACACAGGATACACATACACATAGGCATGCGCAGCCTATTTCATAAGGGTGTGCACACTAAAGCATAAACACACACATATATATATATATATACACATACACACACACACACACATACACTGCTGTTTGTGTATATTGTATGGGGCTGGGGGGGCCATTTAGTTAATAGCCCTTCTCCCTTCTTACCTTTTGTAGGGAGGGGGGACCATGCTGCTGCCACCCCTGGTGGACCTGTGGGGCTAGAATTCACTCTCGCGAGATCTGAGCGTTGCCACGGCAACACACCGACCTTGCGATAGGAACCCGGCGGAGCTGCTGGCTAGAGCTCCCCGGGTTTTCTCCTGCCTCCCTTCCTGCCTGTGAGCCGGTAAGGGATATCATTGAAGCACATAGCGCGGGCCGCTGGGAATACGATGTGCCCAGTCACACCCGGCACACCCAGTGCGCACGCCTATGCACATAAACATTCAGCACACACAGTACACAGTCCCAACATTGAGAGGTATAGAATCAGTACAGTTGGGGGAGCACTTAGGGGGTACATCACCAGTGAAGCAACTTGCATCACTAGCAATGCCCACTATGGGATTCTGACCCAGAAATGGTATGAAACTGAAGGGGTAGGTCAGTCTGAAATCAAGCATTCAAGGTTGACTGATGTGATTGGCAGGAAAGTCAGAAATACAAGGGACAGCCTGAAGAAAGATTAAGGAAAATAAAAGAGAGGATGGTATATTTGTAGAAGAGCCAGTATTAAGGGTGAATAGTGGATGGTGATTGAAGATATATTTTAGGAAGAGGCTTGGGGGAAGAAAGTTAGGAGGTGAGGAAACAAGAAGGAAGGGTTTATATATTCTAGTGATAGAAGAAGGGGAAGGCCCATATCAGAGGCAGTACTGAGGCAAAACCTACCAGATATCAGTAGAGGGTCCCCACTGTAAAAGGAATGGAGAGGCACAACCTGAGAGAGTCAATGAAAGTACTGTATATTTTTCTCTGGCCTCATGAGAGTTTGCCACTAGACTTTTAAAATGACTTCCACAGCTTGGAACTAGGTTCCTAGGGAAGCGTTTGTATCTTTCTTCCATGTCAATAGGATAATAATCTTAGAAAAATTGGGTAGTCCCAGCATCCATGAGTTTCTAATAGACAGGGTGGTGTGGTAGAGAACATGAAAAAGAGAAAGTTGAAAAGACTGCTTATGAATTTACAAACTTCTTCCTTATAAGCGAGCTCTTCCAACATCATCATAAACATATCTGGTAGCCCTTGAACATGTCCAGCAGGTAAATAGAAATGGCTGGTATTTGTTCATGTAGCTGGCTTGGTATGCTATATCAACTTGTGAACAGATTATAAGCATTTTCCTATATCTTCTCTAATGATTAATTTTTTTTTGTCGAAATCATAATATTTTGCCATTCAGCATCTGTAAATGTGCACTGTTGTTCACATTTCCCTGGGATAGCATACCTTCTAAGTGTCGCTATTTAGGAAGGACAATTCCACTGTCCATATTTTCTATCCATATTGTTGTTGGTGTGTCTGAGGGAATAATAGAGTTTTGAATCCTAATTCTTAGTAATGTGTATGTAAACTACATGAGGTTTGAATGTTGCATTCTTAATGATACATAATATAAATAAACACAAGACAACTTCTTGTATCCAACATGTTTATTCAATACTTCAATATTACACCTTGGAGAATGTCCGTGAACCTTTACTACGGATTTCATAATTCCGCTTTGAACATAAAACAATCATTTTAAAACCAAACCGAAATATTAACCATTAAAACTTTCCACCATTAAAACTTTTCAACTTTCCAAGGCTCCGCCCCACACCAAATCCAGGAGCTATAAATATATATCACAAAACCAATTTTATAAACCAAATCCTCCCTCCTGTGATGCCCAGGAGGGTAAATTATATCCCATAGTAAGGTCACGACAACAAGGGAGGGTGAGTGGGAGCAGCAGCTCAGTTATATTTAAAAACGGCAATCCTTGATAGTTGTCTGGCACAAGCTGAGGTAAATAATTTGGCACCTTTACATTTATACTCCTCCTTTTCCCGCCGCTGCTTATCTCGTGCTTTGATCTACCAATCAGGGCTCTTGCCCTGATAGCGAACTTCACGCTCTGCTAATAGCGTGTCCTGCCCTGCACTTAACCCTCAGTGCACTCTGCTGCTAACCTAAACTCACCAATACTTACCCAACAGCCTCTGCTCCATCAAACCTCATGAGGCTTGCTCCTAATGCAGTCCGCGTGCCCGACAATAAATGTGTTTAGAAATCCATCTCGAAACAAGTTGCATTGTTTTAGTTCTAAGTTACATTTTAGTAGCAAAATGTATTTCTCAGAAAAATCCGACCTGTGGCCACACACTTAACATTATAGTAATTCCCTTTGTCCATTTCACATGTTGGGAGGAATAGGGTAAACATGGGTTATTTTGGGCCTTTACAAAAGCGTGAACTTCACAAGCCTGCTGAGAAATCTACCCAGTTCATGGCTATCTGATATTTTGTACTTTGAGACTTGTTATGTTGTAATTTTATTTGCAATCTTTGCTGATGCTAGCAGTCACATATTTTCCCAGTGTTTTATGCTCAAACAGGGACAGACTACCCTGGGACCAGCCAATTAATGTGCACTAGGTTTCTCAGCCACCTCCTAGTGCATAAATCTCATCTGCTAGACCAGCTCTCACTCGGCACTGAGCATCCACCAGTTTTCAGCTGCTAGGTGCCTGGGGTTACTGTAGTGTAACCCCAACAACTAAGAAATAAACTAAAGCTTGCAGCAGGCCTTGAGCTGGTAACCAACAAGAGTAGGAAGGAGACTGTGCTCACAGTGGACACCTCTTCTCTCCTCCCCACACGTAAGGGACACATTTATAGATCTGACTCCTTCTCCTGGTAAACTGGTGTGATGGTGTGTGTCATTATGTGTAAGTGAAAGTGTGTATGTTAGTGAGAGACAGTAGCATGTAAATAACATTGTGTGTTATTTCAATAAGTTTGCATAACAGTCTGTGTCAGTAAGAGAGAGTGTGTAAGTCATTGTTTTTGTGTATATATCAGTTACACTGAGTCTCGGCCAGTTGGAGAAGGTACTCTATAGCCAGGGATGTCCATTCAGCTTTTGCACACCTGCAAAAGTCAGATGCGCATCTGTAGCGGAGATGCAATATTCCCCAGGGTATCTCCGCTTATAATCCAAGTGAGGCTCAGGAACAAGTAAATAGTAAATCCACAGGCAAGGCTTCCTGCAGGTAAAATACAGCAATATCCCCACAGCAATCCCAATAACTGGACGACACACAGTTTCAGGAGCATAACTGAAAGCTTTAATCCACAGTCTCCTTTTAAAGCATGGTCCCATGCAAGGGAGGGATTTACAATAATTATTACAGTAGCCAATCCTGTCCTGGTAACCTCCCACACATCTCCTCCCCTCTTCCAGCATCATAATCCCCTTATCCAGTACAGTAATTCCCCCCGTTTCTGGATGTACCCCTAAACGTAGGGGTACCGCTTTAACTCCTACATCCCCGGATACCCCTGATCCGGGTGAACAACATATCCAAAAATCACCCAGATCAGACCAGGGGTTCGGGAAATGTATGGAGGGAATAAAATGACCGACCGCACTAACTGAGATAGCCGAATAAGGTTCCATGCGAATGGGCCCTGCGGTCGGTCCTGGCATAAGGGAATAAAATACACGAAAACCTCTAGCTATAGAGGCTAGGGAGGGTTCGCCTGAATCCCCTCGTTCGGTTCTTTCTATCTACCGAACGAGGGGCCGTTCGGTAGTTAGGAACCGAACGGACCGGGCTTGTGGAGGTCTCAGCGGTGTTCGCCTACTCGAGTGTCCGATTTTAGTTCCAGACACTCGACGGCAAAACACCGCTGTTCGGGAGTTTTAAAATGGCCGCCGCCACGTGTTCGTTTGTCGAATGGCGGCCACCCCCGAGAACAAAGGACGGCTACTTACTAGGCAATTACCCGTTCGCAACAATGTTGCAACGGGTAATTGAGGACACACTTCACACAGGGGAGGTCTGGTTGTTCGGTAGTTTCATTCAAATGAATCTTTTAAAAGACATATAACACAGCAGATCACACGAATGCAGTTATGTACAATATATTTGCAGGATAGCCTGGTGCCATCCGCTACAGCATCTGGCCGGCCATTCATTGAAATTAGCCAGCCCAAAACTCTTGTTCCGGGATGGCTAATGATGCTGCCAGAGGTGGAGTTACACTTCGGGCAGCAAGAAGTTAAACTCTGTATGTGCAGCGTTTCATAGCAAAATGCTGCATATAGAGACTACAGGTGCCATATGACCACTTTAAATTACTGAAGTGGTTATTGTGCTAGGAGTAACCTGTGTATTAAAGGAACACTATAGCGTTAGGAATACAAATGTGTATTCCTGTAACTGATTACATTTATTCTATTTCTATTTTATTTTAACCTACATGTGATGAGTCACCTACTTTGACTACATGTGAGAAGTCATTGACTAAGTGCGTCAGCTGATTGCTGTCAGCCAATGATTAATCCCCTGCATTGCCACTATTAACTCACTTAAAAAACCTTCGGTTCTCTCATAGGAACCCAATGTAAGAAGTCAAATCATTCTGAAATGGCTTGACTACTTACAATACGGTGGTGCCAGGGCACTTCTGGTACCATAACAACTACAGAACTCTGTAATTGTGATGGTGCTTGGAGTATTACCTTAAATATTTTGCCCTGCTACACATGTCCGGTTGTTTATTTTTCATGCAAAGTTCTCTATA